ATTTGTTATGCTCTTATTATTAAATTCATAGGTATTTAGCTTTATATGAGAAATTATGACTAATCAAAAGAATACATTACATCATATATTCAATAGCTATTTACAAAATGACCTCCATGGGTATTGTATAAATTCATGATAGGTATATATACACAGTTAATAATGTTCCTGTTTAATGGTCTAAGGACAACATATCCATATGAATAGTAGTTGGATCTGTTGTAATCTATGTACATAGAAAAAAGAAAAAATCAAAAACTAATAGTAAAAAATGAAAAAAATTAAAAAAATAAAACAAATAAGAAAAAAATCAAAAAATGAAAAAAATGAAGAAAATCAAAAAAGTAATGTATGTCCTTATGTACAATAGTCCAAAAAATAGTGCACTTAAGTAGTAAATAGGTGGATCTCACCCACTGAAGTATCCAGATGGATTGTAGCCTTAGATGTAACCGGAGAATTTTGTGGGAAGTCTATAATAGATGAAAGAGGTGACTGTATATCAATCGGTGAGCTATTAAATCCGCTGAGTTCCTGCTGCAATACAGGCTGTCAGTGCTGTCCTCATGTATCTCCCTGAAGACAGTCAATAGTATTCGACAAATAGGAGATGGCCTCAGTATGTGAGCAGTCACAGTGTATGGGCGCTTCTAATATCACTCACTTCGTACAGAGCACTGAGTACTTCAGCTTGCTCCTTTTATGTGCAGTTTGTAAAAGTGCTGATTTCTATTTGAAATCAGCACTTTTATAACTAATTTTAAAAACACCTCCCTGGCTTTCACTCACACTAGTACGTGCTATGCAGCTCAATGAGAAACCTCTGATTGATCCTTTCCATGGCACACAATCAAAGTCTGTGCTGTGGAAAAAGAGGAGACCATGTACAGGTTGCAGACAGCAGATCGGCAGTTTTTGCAAACTTTAGATATACCCCTGATTAATAAGATACAGCAATAAATGCATGCATGTATTTTTTGAGGTGTATCTACTAAATTGTAAAAAAAAATCAATTGACATGTTTTTTAATTCTTACAATAACAATTATTCACTAAAGTGAGAACTGTCAGGAATTCAATGTGAATTCAAAGCAAATTTTAAATTTAAGGCCAGAGTAGTCAAATTGGAAGCATAGTTCAGCTATTTTGATCTCAAATCTGAAATTCACTAAATTCACTTTATATTCACTTTAAATTCCTGACAATTCTCACTTTAGTGAATAATCTTTGTATATATCTTTAATTTTTTTCAAAAAGCTTTGTTTTAAAGAACTGAGAAACAATGAAAGAAAGAGAGAACGAGATTAATAAATATCTGTTAGATTTCATGTAAAGGAATTAAAGAGATATTAATGTTCTAGCACTCTCCGCAACAAAAGGAGAGTTGCATTGAATAGCATTATCCAAGGCATGCCTATTGTGTTTGTGCTTTTTCGTCCTTTTTTTGCATTTTCTCCTGTTATCACTAATAAGAGGAAACATTTTATCATCTTTCCACAGCTACCAGTTCCTTACACTGATCTTCTGCAACCCTTATATTATCTATAATCCACACTTGTATACTAGTGATTTAAAAAAAAAAAAAAAAATTATAGCGCAATCCTATGTAAAAAATGCATTTTACAAATATGTGAATAAGCAAAACTCAGTAAGAATTCACAGTGAATTTTCCATCAATTTCAAATTTAAGATTAGAGTAACTGAACTAGAAAAATTCTTCGAAGTCATCTATCTTCCAGTTCGTCTACTGTGGCTTTAAATTTTCACTTTAAATTCTCACTTTAGTGAAAAACCCCGTATGAAGTTGAATTTCTTTGATGAAAACAATTTTGGCGCAATGCCTGCATTCACATTCTGCTCTGTTATATATTTTTTGCTAATACTGTCAAGTCAATTTACTAAAAAATGTAAAATCTGCATATATAAAAAAGACTTTAAATTTTCTTTAAAAATCTGTGATATTTACTGATATTTACTACTACTCTATTATTATTATTATTATTATTTATATAGCACCAGCAAATTCCATAGTGCTGTACAATGGGTGGACTAACAGACACGTAATTGTAACCAGAAAAATGGAAGCACAGGAAGAGAGGGGATTGAGGGCCCTGCTCAATGTGCTTAGATGCTAGAGGGAATGGGGTATAGTGACACAAAGGGTAATAGTAGGGGTAATAAAATACCGTATTTTTCGCTCCATAAGACGCACCTCACCATAAGACGCACCTAGTTTTTAGAGGAGGAAACCCAGAAAAAAAAAATATTCTGAACTGTTCCATATGGTTTCTTACTATGGGACAGTTTGTTCAGAATATTTTTTTTTCTCCCCTGTCCCATAGTGTTCCTTACCACCGACTCCCCTCTCCTGTCCCATAATGATCTTTAACCCCCCTCCCCTGTCCCATAGTCATCTTTAAACCCCCCCTCACCTATCCCATAGTTATTTTAACCCCACTTTCCTCTGTCCCATAGTGATTGTTAACCCCTCCTCCCCTGTCCCATAGTGTTCTTTAACCCCTCCTTCCCTTGTCCTATAATGTTCTCATCCCATAAGGTTCCCCCCCCCTTGTCCCATAGTGCACTTTCCCTCCCATAGTGTCCCTCCCTCCCCTTGTCCCATAGTGTCCCTCCCTCCCTTGTCCCATGGTGTCCCCCCTCCCCTTGTCCCATGTTGTCCCCCCTCCCCTTGTCCCATGTCCCTCCTTGTCCATGGTGTCCCCCTCCCTGTCCCATGGTGTCCCCCTCCTTGTCCATGGTGTCCCCCCCCCACCTGTCCCATGGGGTCCCCCCCTCCCCTTGTCCCATAGGTCCCCCCCTCCCCTGCATCCCACTTAGTGTCCCCCCTCCCCTTGTCCCGCAGGTGTCCCCTCCCCTTGTCCCGTAGAGTCCCACCCCTCCCCCTTGTCCTTGGGGTCCCCCTCCCCTTGTCCCATGGGGTCCCCCTCCCTTGTCCCATGGTGTCCCCCCACTCCCCTTGTCCCATGGGGTCCCCTCCTTGTCCCATGGGGTCCCTTGTCCCTTGGGTGTCCCGCCAGTTACTTACCTGTATTGTAGCGTGGGCCGGCTTAACAGCTCGCACCGCGGTACAGGAACTTCAATTTCAGGTTCCGGTTTCCAGCAGGACTGAAAGGAAGTGTGCACACTGAGTGTGCACTTCCTTTCAGTCCCGCCGGAAACCGGAACCTGGAATTGAAGTTCCTGTACCGCGGAGCGCGCTGTGCTGCCGGCCCACGCTACAATACAGGTAAGTAAAGCTTCACATTCGCTCCATAAGACGCACAGACATTTCCCCTCACTTTTGAGGGGAAAAAAAGTGCGTCTTATGGAGCGAAAAATACGGTAGGTTGCTAGAAAAGTATTTTCGGAGAACTTAGTAGGATATTTTTGACAGTTGCAGGAGAGGAGTCATGGGGGGAGTGGGCGCAGAATGAAAACCCGCTAACAGATTAAATGATATGCTTTCCTGAAGAAGTGTGTTTTCAAAGATTTTTTTGGAGGAGTGGAGAAAGGGTGAAAGTCTAACTAGTGTAAGTTGTGCTTTTACCCTGCGCAGAAAAAGCAATAGTTTTCTTGTGAACTGTAAATAGTCGACAGTAATCATGGCTTATTTTTAATTGGGAAAAAGTACATCAGAATAGCAGAGGGGTTTTAAAAAAACTTATTCATCCCTCTGACACTCACAACATTTAATAACAAATTGCAGTGTGAGTAGCATACTTTAATTAAAATACCAAACAATTAGGAAACTCTCAAGCTTGATAACGGGGAGTCGGAAACAGGATAAAAAATGTGCAGAGAAGTATAAGATGATTATAAGATCTAAGAAAAGTAAAAAAGTAAAAAAGTAAAAATCCTATTAACCCATTCATAAAATGTCTGGAATATGCTGTGGAATATAGTTTAACAGTGTGATTTGCTTAAAACCCGACATCAGGAGATCAGTGATAAATTAATGCTGTGATTTATAAATGTAACTAACATTTATTTTTTATGCAGATTAGCATCTCCAGATTAGCATGCAGATTAGCATCTCCAGGTTGTGAACAATTTACTGGCAATACCATTTATTGCCTATTGTACAAATAGATTTTATCGTTTTAAAATTTTAAATAAAAAGTAATTCTACAACATCCATTGCAGAGAATTAAAAATGAGTTTCAAATTGAATAATTTTTACGGTTCATTGGCCTTAAGTTTGAAATTCACTTTGAATTGACTTAGAATTTCCTGCATTTCTACCTTTACCGAATAACCCTGTAAGTACTCAGAAACTGTACATAAAAAGGAAGACTGACTAGTCATTGATGGCAACAATTGCAAAGAGAGGATTAAATGAACCCACTCGTTGTACATTTGGAGATGCCTGTTCCCAATGCCAACACACAGATCCAGGTTATGTTATGGTCCCTGGACCATAACATGTCAGAACTTTCCAGGATAATGTCTAAAACAGAAAGGAAGATAAAGGGTATGTATTGATTCAACAGCTACTCACTTTAGATTTTTTTTTTTTTTACGTATCCCATTACAAAGTGATATAGTGATAATATACAACCTAGAGGCTGTTTACTAAAGTGTTAATTGCCAGGAACTGATAGAGAACTCAAAGTAAAATGAAAATATTGGGCCATAAGAACTGAATTGACCACATTCTGTACGTCACTTTTGTTTTAATTTTAGCTCATCTAGCCTGAAATAATCAGGGTTATTCACTAAGTGAGAATTCAAAGTGAATTTTAAATTCTATTTCAAAGCAGCCGAAACAGAAATATTCTCTAATTCAACTATTATTTCAGTTTGATATTGGCTTTAAATTTGAAATTCCCTTTGAATTTTCACTTTTTAGTGAATAACCCTGATAGAGTTCATTTTGAATTTGTTACAATTCCGATTTTAGCAAATAGCAACGATAGAATGATGAGTTGAATGACTTGCGATACATTTATTGAGATGGACGTACCATTAGCCAAGGCTTGACAGCAGCATCTAGTTCACAGTATAAAATATTTGAGCAACATATTTTACATTTTTATTTGCTGGGACTTTAAAATTGAATTAAAAATGAATCTCAAATTTAGTTTGCACTCACCAAACTGAAAACATAATCGAATCAGCTGCTTCCACAAAGATAGCAATGATCTTGCCCTCAAACCAGCTATTTATAACATATAGTTTTGATAAAGATGCTGATAGCAGCAGATATTAGAGTTTTTCACTAAACCCCAAACGATAGCACATTGCAACCCACATTTTAATGTTAGAACTAAAATAGCCAAACAGTGGCTATAGCTGAGTTTGATATTTTTTCAGATTAGCTATTTTAGCCTCAAATTTGCAATTTGGATTTTAATTCACGACAATAACGAGTTTAGTAAAAAAGAAAACCCATAAATTTAGAGCAGGGATAGCCTGCGGCTCTTGAGCGGTTGTTGCGTTCATACAGAATTGTTTACTAGTGAAAATTCAAAGTTGAATTTTAAATTTAAGGCCAAAAGAGTCAAATTGAAAAAAAAAGTCGACAATGCTTACAGTTCAACTACTTTGGCCCAAAATGTGAAATTCTTCATCAATTCTAATGTTAAGGATTAACCCAGCTAATCCCATGACTTTAGCAATGTAGCTCTAACACATTCTGGATAAAGTTAAGGAGAATTGTTGGATAGCCTTAAAGGACCACTATAGTGCCAGGAAAACATACTCGTTTTCCTGGCACTATAGTGCCCTGAGGGTCCCCCCATCCTCAGGGACCCCCTCCCGCCAGACTCTGGGGAGAGGAAGGGGTTAAACTTACCTCTTTCTCCAGTACCGGGCGAGGAGCTCTCCTCCTCCTCTCCGCCTCCTCTCCTCCTCTTCGGCTGAATGTGCATGCGCGGCAGGAGCTGTGCGCGCATTCAGACAGTCTCATAGGAAAGCATTCAAAATGCTTTCTTATGGACGCTGGCATCTTCTCACTGTGATTTTCACACTGAGAAGCACGCAAACGCCTCTAGCGGCTGTCAATGAGACAGCCACTAGAGGCTTTAGAGGCTGGATTAACCTATTTATAAACATAGCAGTTTCTCTGAAACTGCTATGTTTATAAAAAAAAGGGTTAACCCTAGATGGACCAGGCACCCAGACCACTTCATTAAGCTGGACCACTTCATTAAGCTGAAGTGGTCTGGGTGCCTAGAGTGGTCCTTTAATGTAGAGAATAAGAAAGAGATATTGCTACAAACTGACTAAGAAACAAGGGTTTTATTTCAAATATAATTACATATTTTCTTGTAAACATGCAATAATAGGTAGGGGTAAAATTAGTTGTGATATTCGTGGCTCAGAGCATCAACAACAACTGCAAAGAATTTCTCGAAAGCGGCTTGGACTGATGGAGTGAAAGAGGATCCTAATTTTCCAGCCAGAACAATCACGAACACTTCACCAAAACGCTGCGAATAAGACAGAAACAAATGCCTTAATGAATCTATTTATCAAGTCCAGGATAGAAAGCTGTACATTTATTCCATTGTATGTTATTTAGCCTCAAAATGCAGTATTAAGATGTTACAGTACAAAAGTCAATTAATTATTCATTTCCATTATTCAGTACTTTAGCTTAAGTTTTGCAGTTGGCTATCAATTAACTACAGTTTAGTGTTTCATAAATAATTTCACTCTAATTTAATTGCTGCAACATAGGATTCTCTACATATTACTTTTTAAGGGCAGCCCTAGAAAAAAAAGCAATTCTAACCAGATTGAAAATTGCTAGAAAATCAAAGTGAATTTCTAATTTTAAGCGAAAATAACCAAAGAGAAAACAGAACTGGTTTGGATATTTTTTTTAATTTGCCACCTTTTTTGGCCTTAATTTTGAAATTCTCTTTGAATTCCACAAAAATTATCTGCAATCTGAATTTAGGGGGAAATATTGACAAAAAAATTGCAAATGCCTATATTTTTCAAATATGGAAAATTGTGCTGTTAAACTAATTTATAATTTTTATAATCTTAATATGACAAGAAACTTGTATTTTATTATAAATATATAGAAAGTAAAATTGAAAACATCGGTGCCCACACAGCATCTAAACTGTTGTATTGAACAATAAAATATTCAGATATATTCAATTTCAACTTGCTTGTGGGACAGAGATTTTTTTTAAAGGTGGAAAGAGAGATTTCAGGTATAATAAAACTCCCTTATCTATGACAGTAATAACATTTTGTTACTCCACATGTAGCGCATGGCCATTATCGAACTCTAATGAAAGTTGCTGTAGAGTCTACAGTTTAACCATTATGCCATTCCTATTACAACCATAAACTAATTATTTTGTAGCTCTAACACGTTCTGGATAAAGTTAAGGAGAATTGTTGACCAGCCTTAATGTAGAGAATAAGAAAGAAATATTGCTACAAACTGACTAAGAAACAAGGGTTTTATTTCAAATATAATTACATATTTTGTTGTAAACATGCAATAATTGGTAGGGGTAAAATTAGTTGTGATATTCGTGGCTCAGAGCATCGACAACAACTGCAAAGAATTTCTCGAAAGCGGCCTGGACTGATGGAGTGAAAGAGGATCCTAATTTTCCAGCCAGAACAATCACGAACACTTCACCAAAACGCTGCAAATAAGACAGAAACAAATGCATTAATGAATCCATTTATCAAGTCCAGGATAGAAAGCTGTACATTTATTCCATTGTATGTTATTTAGCCTCAAAATGCAGTATTAAGATGTTGCAGTACAAAAGTCAATTAATTATTCATTTCCATTATTCAGTACTTTAGCTTAGATTTTGCAATTGGCTTTCAATTAACTACAGTTTGGTGTTTCATAAATAATTTCACTCTAATTTAATTGCTGCAACATAGGATTCTCTACATATTACTTTTTAAGTGCAACCCTAGAACATAAAGCAATTCTAACCTGATTGAAAATTGCTAGAAAATCAAAGTGAATTTCTAATTTAAGGTGAAAATAGCCAAAGAGAAAACAGAACTGGTTTGGATAATTTTTTTTAATATTTCACTTGTTTTGGCCTTAATTTTTAAATTCCCTTTGAATTCCACAAAAATAATTTGGCAATCTGAGTTTAGGGACACATATTGACAACAAATGCTCTGAAAACCCCATATTTTTCAAATATGGTAAATTGTGCTGTTAATTTATAATTTTTGTAATCTTAATATGACAAATAACTTGTATTTTATAATAAATGTATATAATTAAAATTGAAAACATTGGAGCCCACCCAGCAGCTAAACTGTTGCATCATAGAATAAAACATTCAGATGTATTAAATTGCAGCTTGCTTGTGGGACAGAGATATTTTAAAAGGTGGAGAGATTTCAGGTATAATGAAACGCCCTTATCTATCATTTTGTTACTCCACATGTAGCACATGACCATTATCGAACTCTAATGAAAGTTGCTGTAGAGTCTACAGTTTAACCATTATGCCATTCCTATTACAACCATAAACTAATTATTTTGCATAATTAATATTCAGCACAAAACATTCAAACATGAACTGATATAAGTGTCTTAAACATAACAGCCTTTCTTAGTGAAAATATGTAACAATGATATTCTGTAACCATAACTACCCAAATAATCTTTATGTGAAATACATACTCTGAAGTTCTCTGGATCTATATGAAGTGTGTTGGCATGGCTGTAACTGAGGTCGCGGAGATCGGCCTTAATGGTATCCAAGTGATGGGCTGCATTGTTAAGTGCTGCCAGAACCTTCTTGCCGTGGGCCTGTACTTTGGCATTTCCATAAATTGCTGTTTCGTTGGACAGACTTCCGAAAGAACTGAAATACCTCTGGGTCCAGGGGTAGACCAGGAGCAGCCTAGTGAAAGAGAAACATGTTTCAAAAATACAATAAGCACATCTTAATGTGGGATGGATCGGGCATCATTTTATTAAAGGGACATTACATGCACTTAATCAGTGCAGCATCATATTTTAATATTGTAGTAGTTATGGTGCAATGAGTTTGTGTGTTCCTTACATATGTTTTATGCCAAATAGTTTTTTACAAAAATAGGACCCTTTGTTACATCTCTACTGGCATTAAGCTAGCCTTGTTTTTTGTCAAAGTTCTTCAAATGGTTTGATAAAACATTGGAAGTGGGCAGCATCTAAAGAGATTTTACACCATAAACTGCAGTGGTTATGGTGCTTTGAAGCTCACTTTAATATAACTATTCCAGTGTTAAAAACAAATTACAGAAGGTTTTGTAATATAGTAAAAGCACGTTACCGATAAAAGGCTAGATTATAGGACTTTTCTGTCAAGCCTTAATTTCTACGAGGTTTAGTTTATATGTAACATGTCCTATTCATAAATGTCAGTAATTGTTTGACTTATTCCTACAGAAATAACTTCTAAGCATCAATAATTATTGTATTTAGATTAATTCAGCCAATAGATTATTTAGCCACCTGCTCTTAGAACACTGAAAGTAAGATTCTCTAAGATTTACATGTCTCTGCTTTAAACATGAACAGAACATTAATAATTTAAAAAACCTTTATAATCATTGTATTCTCACCTTCCCAAGGCATCTCCACCATCATGTTCCAGATCAATGTTCTTGCATACGGTGGCGATGGCGGCCTTCTCTTCGGCTGTCCAGTGAACCATGGTGGCAGTTAGAGTGATGAGTAGTTCAGGCTTCAGAAACAAGAAGTACAAGGCTCTGAGAGACAAGTCTTTCTCCACCAGATTTTAAAGGAAAAACAAGCATGTTACGCCTACGATAAACCACCCTGTCATCCTTTTTTCTTCTCCAACTCAAACTTGCTGTTACTGATAAGAGGAAGAAATATTTGAAGATAGGTCTGACCTTGCTATTTTGCATCTTCTCATTGACAGATTCCCTATTGTTACTCTACAGTACATGTTGCAGCATGGAAATTTAACTATTGCCATTATTTTAGCAAGAGTCAGTTTCAAATAATTCTAAACAAAGTAGACCTGGCATTGACATGTATAGATGCCAAGGGCAGCATTTAATATGAATGTGCAACATTTCTTCTGCATACTTCCCTCAGCAGGGGTATAACTAGAAACCACTGTGCCCTATGGGAAAGATGGGCCCCCTCACTCCCCTCCCCCCAACACCCTTTAAGCAATATCCCTGACTGGGATGCATGTGGTGGCTGTCGGTTAATGTGGGGGAGTAATATGTATGTATATATGGAGTTGGCTTAGAGTGTTTGTGTGGGAGGTTGGCTTAGTGGGATGTGTGTGAGGGCTGACTGAATATTAGTGTGTGTGGATTTGAATTAGTGTGATTGAGTGTGGAGTTGGCTGAGTGTGGTCTTAGAGTTACATGTAATAATGTAAGAAAAATAGTTACCCCTTGCTGCTTACTTTTCTGCAGGAATGTGCACATTAGCCCAGGTGGTCCAAAGGAATGATCCCTGGTGGTTCTGGGGGCTGCTGGACACTTTTGGGAGATTAGCAGGTGCAGACCACAGTAAATGATTTTCTAGTGCTGCGAACCAAGAGGGAGCATAGCAAGCGCTTTCTATAACGCAAGCTATAACGGCTATTTAATATATTGTCAGAATAACAATGCATTAAATAACGATTTGCAAGGAACAAGGTATAACTTTTTCACGCAGTACTGCAGGTTTTAATCAGCGTTGGGTGTTTTATTTTCAACAAAGTTAGAATTTAAGGGGACTTCAAAGTCCTTTAAAATTTAACGACAAAGCAGCCGAACTGGAAGTCAGCTATGCTCTCCATTTAACTATTTTAGCCTTAAATTTAAAATTCACTTTGAATTCTCATGTTAGTAACTCTGAATATGTTTTAATCTTTGCAATATTTTTTTAAATTCAGGTAACACTAGGACCATTTATTATGTTCACTTGTAGAATGTTAAATTCTGCTTACATCCACTTTACATGGTAACATATTAGCTCAATTGAACTCCCAAATATCATCAAGCACAGATCAATAGCAAGATGTGACATGGAAGGCCAGAAATGCTGATCTTAAAGGGACACTATAGGCACCCAGACCACTTAGCTAATTGATATGGTCTGGGTGCACTGTCCTAGATTCCTTAACCCTGAGCAGGTAAATATAGCAGTTTTTTAAGAAACTGCAATAATCACCTGCTAAGGTTAACTCCACCTCTAGTGGCTGTCTACAAATCAGCCACAAGAAGGATTTCCGGGCTGTTACGCGACTTTTGGTCACACTATGCATGGGGATGTCCAGCATCAACCAAAACTCCATAGGAAAGCACTGAATAATGTTTTCCTATGGGGAAATCCTAATGCAAGTATGGCCATTTCTGCGCATGCGCATTAGTTCTCCTCCACCGGCTGACGTCGGCGGGGGAGGAGTGAAGGCAGACCTGATCCAGTGCTGAGGGACATCGGCCGTTTATAACCTCTTCTGCACATCAAAGGGAAGTGGAGGCTTGACAGTAGGGGAAGCTATAGTGTCAAGAAAGCGGGTTTTTTTTCCTGGCACTATAGTTTCCATTTGAATTAGACGGTACATCAATGTAGCCAATTTATTTCACTTAAAGTGCAGAGAAAAATTTGGTTGTGAATAGGGCTAAATAAATGCAAATTTGAACGATTAGGTAATTAGAAAAGCGATTAAACAATTACAAAAATAGAAAACAATTTTTACTCAAATGAGAATGTAAAGTGAATTTAAATGTGAATTTTAGATTTAAAGCCAGAGTAGCCAAGTTTAAAGCAGAACTGACTTAGAATTTTTTTCAGTTCGACTATTTTGACCTTAAATTTAACTTAATTCACTTTGAATTCTAATTTAATGAATAACTCTGTTAGTATTTTTGTAAAGTGAATAATTATAATAATTATAAAAAAAAAGAAAAAAAAAGATTAATGAAGAAACAAAGCTACTACATTGCATCTAACATGTGTGGCTGCCTCTTTTAATAGGCATGTAAATTGTCAGTGCTTATAGTGCACCTTTAAGTAACAGGGAGCATCAGATAATGATATGGAGCTAATCAGACACATTTTATCATATTCTTTCTGTCATCTTCAAATCCCCCATATGTTAAGACAGCAATAATTCTATCTCCAGCTTCTAGAACCACTATCTCTGCCTTGCAAGCAACATCCTGTACCACCCGTTCTTCATTTAGGATTCAAACGTAATCAGCCAACTCAGGAGCATGACGTCATTCATTTCTTGCATCCACAGGACTAGCTGTTTGGTTGAGAGTAATGTATTTTCTTTATGTACAATTATTGCCAATTTACTTGTATCTTTAGGAAAAGGATTTAATATTCTCCATATGTCATTTAATTTATAATTCCCAAGGCTTTCTTGAAAAGATCTTGCCAATCCCCTGGATTTTCAGTCCAGTTTTTTTTTTTATCCTTAAGGATTTATTTATCTTTTTCAACATCAACAACACAAATTAAATCTCCAAAAAGCATAAACGTTCCCTTGACCCTATCTAAAACGTTATCATCTAATAAACAATTGATAAAGTGGACCTGTCTTTCGTTAGGGGCATAGAAATTAAGAAATGAAAACAATGTATCGCTCAGTTTACATATCTCCCTTTAGGATGACAGATTTTGTGAATTTGTATTTAACATTTATAGAAATAAGAATTGCAACCCCACATTTTTTGCTTTCTCTTAAAGAGGCATGAGTTACATTAGAAATGTTTTTAGTTATAATTCTGCTAGCATCATATACCTAGTTGGTATAGCTTGGGATAGCCAATCTAGATGGGCAATTCTCTTTTGGGGAACATTAAAACCTTGAACATTAAAAGTGACAATTTTTGAAAGATTCAAGTAGGTTGCAATACCACTTCTCTCTCTTATTAGAAAAAAAATGCTCGTAGGGCCACCATATAGTGGAGAAGGAAGGGGATATAACAAAATTCATTGCGGTACTCAAATATTGAGTAAAATAATAAAATATCCCTTTTTGTTGTGTATAACTGGTCTATCTATTGTGACCCAATATAATAGCTTATTAGTCTCTTGTACCTTAGTACACTTCTAATAATAAGAAAAAAAATAATAAATGCAATAGTACTTTAAGTTATCCTGAATTTAAGTAATAAAATATATATTATAAATATAAAATAGTTATGGTCTTAAGTTATCTTTAGGTCAATTCCTTATTTCCCTTGAGAATTGTTGCAAACATATATTTGTATATAATAAAATGTAAATAGCTTACTTATCTCTTGTGAGTCAATGTGTTATTTAATAGAAAAGTGAAAAATCCTTTAAAATCTTAGGCTATCCCGAGGTCTAAAAAAACAATCAAAAAACAACTAATTATGATCCTGCATGTGATATTATTCTACTAATATAAAGTGTGACTTAACACCATATTTGTAACTTATCTATCTCTTGAGACCTAATTGTTTAATAGGAAAGTGATAAGTGCATTAAAACCTTAGATTATGTCATTGGACTTAGGTCAGTTCCAAATCTTCCCCAAAATGTATTTCAAAAATATTACACAGTGGGAAAAAACCAAACACACTAATTGTAATTATATGTGTGATACTGTTATACTAATATATAAAATGTGAATTAACGCTGCATTATTTATAGCTTATCTGTCTATTATACCCAGTGTCTTTTTTAATAGAAAAGTGATAGGTGATTTAAATCTGTAGGTTGTACGGCTGAGCTTAGGTCAGTTCCATATCTCCCTCAAAATTCAAATGCAAAAATCTTGCACAGTGCTAAAACAAAAACCAAAAATGCCATTATGATTTTACATTGATATTCATTTAAAAATATTTAAGTTTTATCAATCCCTTTCTTTTGAGTAGTTCATCATTATCATTGAACTTCAGGAGATTTTATTCAGGCACTCCTGTGCCTGCCGAGGCATCTGGCTGTGTAAATGCTGTTCAGCTGCCCAAGACTCCACTTCAACTTGGGGGAAGCACTAGCCCGTAAGCATTCTGGAAGCTTTGCCCACTCAGCGTCCCACGTCATCTCGCAAGACAATCCAGGTGCAAACGACAGAGGTTATAACAAAGATTGTCAGGGAACTAAGATGGAGGATGAAGAGTGTGGACTTCAACATTTAATATAATTTGTCACACCTCCCAAATACACATTTGTTAAATATAAAGATTAGTGATGTCCCGAACGGTTCGCTGAAGGGTTCGCCACGAACGGTTCGCCACGAACGGTTCGCCACGGACTCATCATTGAGTAAACTTTAACCCTGTATTTCACAGTCAACAGACACATTCCAGCCAATTAGCAGCAGACCCTCCCTCCCAGACCCTCCAACCTCCTGGACAGCTCACTAAGAATGCAGCTACACAATGAATGTAAAATGGATGCTGTCCAGGAGGTGGGAGGGTCTGGGAGGGAGGGTCTGCTGCTGATTGGCTGAAATGTGTCTGCTGACTGTGAGGTACAGGGTCAAAGTTTACTCAATGATGAGTCCGTGGCGAACCGTTCGTGGCGAACTGTTCACGAACCGCTCGTGGCGAACCGTTCGGAACATCACTAATAAAGATAAGTAAACTTAAAATAAAAAATCTATAAGAAGAGTGTTTTAAAGAACATAGTTAGAAGTGTTGTTCTGAGCCAATGACAATGCTTTCATCTAGGATTAGATGAAATTAGATCATCTAGGATAGAGCCAAACCCAGCTCTGGTCAACCAGCATCTCCTCATAGAGATGTATTGAATCAATTCATCTCTATTTGGAAAGGTCAGTGTCTCCATGCAGAGGATAAACAGTGCAGCACTGCCCCAGGAAGCACATCTAATAGCCATCTGAGGCGTGGCCAGTGGAGGTATCCCTGGGCTGTAATGTAAACACTGCATTTTCTCTGAAAAGACAGTGTTTACAGCAAAAAGCCTGAAGGGAATGATTATACTCACCAGAACAAATTCAATAAGCTGTAGGTGTTCTGGTAACTATAGTGTCCCTTTAAAGTGACATTCTAAACAACAGAAGCTCTGCAACTCAATGTACTGATTATGTTGCCTAGAATCTCTAGACTCCATCCTCTGGTTAAATGACACAAAATTTTGAAGTGGTTTGACAGAACATCGTCTCTCCCTGCCACCTGGCACCTCCCTGGATCTCCTCCTTGGCTGCAAAAAGGCAATTTTAACAATTCCATATTACCATTTACTATACAACATTGATTGGCTGACAGAGCTGGACTAACCAGCTTCCTCCCCATCATCAACCTCTGTAGCCGCTTTCCTCCATCACTTTCCTCCTCCATCAGTACCATAATAAATAAACCATACTCTTTATAGGTTCCGCTCAATCAGTCTCTTTCGTCTAATAGCTTCTCCTCCTTCATCATGGCCCTTTTCCTAAAGTCTTCTCCTCCACTGGTCCCTTACTCTGCGATACTTCTCCTTCTCAGCCATGTCTTCCATCAACACCCTTCTCATTTTTAATCTCTATTCCCCTATAAACTCTCACCCTCCACAATTACTTCTAGCCTGTTTGTTTCCTCTGTCCAAGGCATTTCTCCTTTAAAATCCTCCCTTCCCAGTCCCTTTCCTCCACAAGACTCATTTCACTCCATGAGCTCCTTACCTCTATCAGTTGAAATCAATACAACACTATATGCCGTATAAGGAGTATCATTCACCCTATGGTTCATTATGCTCTGAGTATGTGTCCTTGTCTTTGCTGGAAAGAGTGCAAATGCCTGGGCATCACTATTATTAAAGTTGGCATCTGCACCAGTGGCAGAACTAATGAAGAGAGGGCCCCAGTACAAGGATGGCTAAAAGGTAGATTAACAATCGTGCAACCCCCACAATGCTTTGCCAGCTGGAGATTTACCATTTCCCCATCCTTGCAGGGTCGTATGTGTGTTTGAATGTAAGCATGTTTTTGCATGGGGTATCTGTATTTTTGAATGTAGTAGTGTATTTGTATGTATTGCTACCATTTGAATGTAGTGGTGTGTGTAGTTTTGGCATTTGAATGCAGGGGTCTCTTTGTGTATTGTGTTGGTCTTTGAATGCCTGGATGTATTGGCATATTCACATACACTGCCACACACAGATACACACACATACTGACACAGATAAACTCACATATTGACACAGATGCACATACACAATGAGATATACACAGATACACACCCATACTGACAAACAGATACACACATTCTGACACATATACTCATATACATACACACTGACAGATACACACACCCAGGACCCCCCCACCCCCACACACACACACAGTGACCCATACACACACGATGACCCAGTGTCCTAGTTTACAATATAATATATTCGATGATCATGTTTTAAAGTTTGAATTGCAGGGACTTTAAAATTTAGTTTGAACTCACCAAAATGAAAACATTATCGAATCAGCTGCTTCCACAAAGATAGCAATGATCTTACCCCCAAACCAGCTATTTATAGCATATAAAGTTTGATAAAGATGCTAATAGCAGCACATATTAGAGTTTTTCACTAAACCCCGAACTATAGCACATTACAAACCAAATTTCAATGTTAAAACTAAAATAGCCAAACAGTGGCTATAGCTGAGTTTGATATTTTTTCAGCTCAGCTATTTCAGCCTCAAATTTGCAGTTAGGATTTTAATTCACGACAATAACGAGTTTAGTAAAAAGAAACAAAAAAGCCTATAAATTTAGAGCAGGGATAACCTGCGGCTCTTGAGCGGTTGTTGCACTCATCCAGAATTGTTTACTAAAGTGAAAATTCAAAGTTGAATTTTAAATTTAAGGCCAAAATAGTCAAATTGAAAAAAAGTCGTCAATGCTTACAGTTCAGCTACTTTGGCCTAAAATGTGAACTTTTTCATCAATTCTAACGTTTGTGAATTCAACCCTCGTTTTTGCATATCATTTTTATATTTCTTTTATCTTCTTTTTATGATATTTGTACACATTATTTCAATTTGTTTTTAGTTCTATTATAATACCAATATGCTGATGACGTCATTCTGGCGGGAATTTCGAATCCCCATAGTATTATTGTATGTTATATAAACCTTTGAATGTCAGGTGTGCCCTTCTTTTATTATTATCTACTTGAAGAAGCCTTTTGAGGCGAAACGCGTTTAGACATTTTAGATATTTTATTAATTACTTTATAATAAAGAATTTAATTTGGCATAAGACACTTTATTGCCATTTTTCTTTATTTTTATCTTATTTTATTTTAATTTTTGCACCTGACCTATACCCACAAGGAGCCTAAAGAATCCATAGGTGGGGATTATACCACCCAAACGCCTACACCGAGCAGTACGAGTCTGCTCTAGAGAATGTAAGTTATTTACTTTATATTCTTATGTTTAATCATATACAGAGAGCACTATATTCTCATTCTCTCATTTTGGGTCGAATAATATCAATTTGAACACCGAATCCGAGCCAGAAATTCTCCAATCAAAGATTATTTCTGCATATCCTTGAGTGGGGATCATTCCACTTCACGCGCATAATATCAGAGCTATAATTTAGCTCTGAAAAGTGTGAGTACGGCTATTTTCACTATTTTAGAATTTCATTTTCATTGATATACTGTACCATTGGAGTTCCTGTTTCTGCTTCCCTTTCATATATTCTCCACTGGATTCGAGCCCACCATTGTGAAGATTCTACACTGCTAGATGTCTCAAGACTCCTTGTCTTCCCATAAGAACCTATTATTACGGACTCTTGATAAGTGTTTTGGATTTTTTCTTATTGTTTAATTTTATAAATTTTATATTTTATACTCTATATTATTTTTTTATAAATTCTGCATATGCTTTATTATAATTTTTAGGCACGCTTTTATTCTTTTTGTTTGTGAATTACCCGGCTAATCCCGTGACTTTAGCAATGTAGCTCTAACACGTTCTGGATAAAGTTAAGGAGAATTGTTGACCAGCCTTAATGTAGAGAATAAGAAAGAAATATTGCTACAAACTGACTAAGAAACAAGGGTTTTATTTCAAATATAATTACATATTTTCTTGTAAACATGCAATAATAGGTAGGGGTAAAATTAGTTGTGATATTCGTGGCTCAGAGCATCGACAACAACTGCAAAGAATTTCTCGAAAGCGGCTTGGACTGATGGAGTGAAAGAGGATCCTAATTTTCCAGCCAGAACAATCACGAACACTTCACCAAAACGCTGCAAATAAGACAGAAAAAAATGCCTTAATGAATCTATTTATCAAGTCCAGGATAGAAAGCTGTACATTTATTACATTGTATGTTATTTAGCCTCAAAATGCAGTATTAAGATGTTGCAGTACAAAAGTCAATTAATTATTCATTTCCATTATTCAGTACTTTAGCTTAGATTTTGCAATTGGCTTTCAATTAACTACAGTTTGGTGTTTCATAAATAATTTCACTCTAATTTAATTGCTGCAACATAGGATTCTCTACATATTACTTTTTAAGTGCAACCCTAGAACATAAAGCAATTCTAACCTGATTGAAAATTGCTAGAAAATCAAAGTGAATTTCTAATTTAAGGTGAAAATAGCCAAAGAGAAAACAGAACTGGTTTGGATAATTTTTTTTAATATTTCACTTGTTTTGGCCTTAATTTTTAAATTCCCTTTGAATTCCACAAAAATAATTTGGCAATCTGAGTTTAGGGACACATATTGACAACAAATGCTCTGAAACCCCATATTTTTCAAATATGGTAAATTGTGCTGTTAATTTATAATTTTTGTAATCTTAATATGACAAATAACTTGTATTTTATAATAAATGTATATAATTAAAATTGAAAACATTGGAGCCCACCCAGCAGCTAAACTGTTGCATCATAGAATAAAACATTCAGATGTATTAAATTGCAGCTTGCTTGTGGGACAGAGATATTTTAAAAGGTGTAGAGATTTCAGGTATAATGAAACGCCCTTATCTATCATTTTGTTACTCCACATGTAGCACATGACCATTATCGAACTCTAGTGAAAGTTGCTGTAGAGTCTACAGTTTAACCATTATGCCATTCCTATTGCAACCATCAACTAAATATTTTGCATAATTAATATTCAACACAAAATATTCAAACATGAACTGATATAAGTGTCTTAAACATAACAGTCTTTCTTAGTGAAAATATGTAACAATGATATTCTGTAACCATAACTACCCAAATAATCTTTATGTGAAATACATACTCTGAAGTTCTCTGGATCTATATGAAGTGTGTTGGCATGGCTGTAACTGAGGTCGCGGAGATCGGCCTTAATGGTATCCAAGTGGTGGGCTGCATTGTTAAGAGCTGCCAGGACCTTCTTGCCGTGGGCCTGTACTTTGGCATTTCCATAAATTGCTGTTTCGTTGGACAGGGCTCCGAAAGAACTGAAATACCTCTGGGTCCAGGGGTAGACCAGGAGTAGCCTAGTGAGAGAGAAACATGTTTTAAAAAAATACAATAAGCACATCTTAATGTGGGATGGATCGGGCATCATTTTATTAAAGGGACATCACATGCACCTACTCAGTACAGCAGCATATTGTAATATTGTAGTAGTTATGGTGAAATTAGTTTTTGTGTGCCTTACTTATGTTTTCTATCAAATGTTTTTTGACAAAAATAGGACCCTTTGTTACATTTATCTGTGCATTAATAGCATTTTTGTCATTTTTGTCAAAGCTCTTAAAATGGTTTGACAAAAGGAAATAGGGGATGGAAAGCATCCAAAAAGACTTTGCACCATACACTGTAGTGATTATGGTGCTTAGAATGTCCCTTTAATAAAATTATGCCAATGTTAAAAAAATTTTACAGAACATTTGGTATTATAGTAAAAAGCATGTTACCGATAAAAGGTTGGATTATAGGGCTTTTCTCTCAAGCCTTAATTTCTACGAGGTATTATTTTATATGTAACATGTCCTATTCATAAATGTCAGTAATTGTTTGACTTATTCCTACAGAAATAACTTCTAAGCATCAATAATTATTGTATTTAGATTAATTCACCCAATAGATTATTTAGCCACCTGCTCTTAGATCACTGAAAGTAAGATTCTCTAAGATTTACATGTCTCTGCTTTAAACATGAACAGAACATGAATCATTTAAAACCCTTTATAATCATTATTTTCTCACCTTCCCAAGGCATCTCCACCATCATGTTCCAGATCAATTTTCTTGCAGATGGTGGCGATGGCTGCCTTCTCTTCGGCTGTCCAGTGAACCATGGTGGCTGTTAGAGGGATGAGTAGTTCAGGCTTCAGAAACAAGAAGTACAAGGCTCTGAGAGACAAGTCTTTCTCCACCAGATTTTATAGGAAAAGCAACCATGTTACGCCTACGATAAACCACCCTGTCATCCTTTTTTGTTCTCCAACTCAAACTTGCTGTTACTGATAAGAGGAAGAAATATTTGAAGATAGGTCTGACCTTGCTATTTTGCATCTTCTCATTGACAGATTCCGTATTGTTACTCTACACTAAATGTTCCATTTCTCCAATTATCATCGACAGAATTAACCCCCCATCCCAAACACACACACAATTCCCATTCCCTTTACCCAGCTAAGCAATCTTTTTCACATATTAGGAGTTGCCCTTCTGCATCTTTCCCATTATTTCTAGTTTATACCAAAACCCATTTCTAATTTTATGAAATATTTCACCCACTTATATGTGATCACTCCCATGCCACCCATACCTGTTTTTATAAACAACTCATCAAATTGATCAATCGTAACGCAGTCACTCCTGTGATGCGTTGTATCACCTTCTTTATTTTTACCTTTTCCAGTTCTTTACTCTATCAAGTACTTGGAGTTGCAACATTGAAATTAAACTATTGCCATTATTTTAGTAAGGGTCAGTGTTAAAACTCTAAATGAAGTAGACCTGGCATTGACATGTATAGATACCAAGGGCAGCATTTAATGTGAATACAAAGGTAATTTTTTTCAGTGATTTCTTCTGCATACTTCCCTCAACATGGGCATAACTAGGAACCACTGGACCCTAAGGGAAAGTAAAGCCCCCCTCATTGGCCCTTCTTACTCCCCTCAAGCAATACACCTGAGTGGGATGTGCGCAGTGGCTCTTGATGATTGGATGAGAATGACTGTGCGTGGGGCTTGGCTAAGTGTGGTTGTGTGATATGTATGTGTGTATGGGGTTGGCTGAGAGTAATTATGTGTGGGGGCTTGGCTAAGTAGGAGTGTGTGTGATGTCGAATAAGTATGGTTGTGTTTGGACTTGTCTAAGTATGATTGTGTATGGAGATGACTGAGTGTGAGTGTGATTGTGTGTAGGGTTTGCGGAGTTTTGATTGTATGTGCCCGAGTGTAATTATGTGTGAGATTTGCTGAGTTTAAATGTATGTGGTGTTGTCTGAGTGTGTGAGACTACAGTGTGTGTAATACTAATAACAGAAAAAAAATACCCTGCTTACCTTTCTCCAGAGAGGTGCGTATAATCCCAGGTGGTTGCGGTGGGCGTCTGACCACATTTCTGAGAGAGTAGCAGGTGCAGACCACCGTAAATAGTTTTCCTGTCCAGTGCTCATTGATTGAGTCAGGGCGTTGCCATGCTAACCTGGCGCGATGTTCTGACTCATTCTCTGAATGCTGTGACCAAGAGGGAGTTTACCAAGCACTTTCTCTCAAACTGTAATGGTTACTTAATATATTGTCAGAATAACAATGCATTAAATAACAATTTGCACAGAGCAACTATACTTATAACAACTTTTTCAAGCAGCTGCAGGTTTTAATCCGAGTTTGGTGATTTATTCTCACCAAAGTGAGAATTCAAGGTGTGTGCAAAGTTATTTAAAATTTAATGTCCAATTAGCCAAACTGGACGTCAGCCATGCTCTCCATTCAACTACTCTAGCCTTAAATTTGAAATTCAATATGAATTCTCATGTTAGTAAATAACCCTGAATATGTTTTAATCTTTGCAATTCTTTTTTAATTTCCAGCCAAACCTTTACATGTTAACATACAAAATTAAGCCCTGAACTCCCACTACTCCTGGACGGCAGCAATAACTATAGTACGCATCGGCCTCAATACATACAATAAAAAAAAATTTAAAAAAAATTACTTGTGCATTATCTCAAATCCCTATGCACATTTTAAAAACTGGAGTTTAAAAAAAATAAAAAATAAATAACTCCAATGGCCATTTAAGTGTCGCTCACCTGCTTTGTGTATTACACAGCCATGTTACATTGCTGCCACCAATCGCATGTATTCCCTATTAAGGGTTAATAAGTAGTTAGGGGTTTAGATAAATACATTTCTCTGTCTCATTAGAGAGTTTACTTTATAGTTGAAGATAGCAAGGTTAATTGTTAGCAGGGCCGGACTGACCCACCGGGATACCGGGAAATTTCCCGGTGGGCCGCGGCACCTGGGGGCTGCAGAACTCTAACTCCCTATACAGAGGGAGCCCTGTGACTGTTTTTAATAATATGGCGGCCGCTGGTCGCATGTCGGTGCTGACGGCTTGTTAGTGTAAGACTGACCTAACAGGTTTTGTTGTGACGTGGCAGGTGAGCTTACACTTAAATGGCCATTGCAGTGATTCTAAATAACCTTCAGTTATTTAAATGTGCATAGGGCTTTGGGTAGTGCGCAAGTAACTTTTATCTTTGTTTTTTTATTAAACCTTTACTTATGGTTTATTTAAAATTGCATTCATCCATCGTCCTTCCAGAAACTCTTGAACATAAACTTTACAGGAAAAGTGGAAATGTGGGTACAATTAATTACAGGGTTATTTCCTAAAATGAAAATTCAAAGTGAATCTAATGTGAATTTCAAACTTAAGGCCAGAGTAGCTTTTTTCACCTTAAATATAAAATTCACTTTGAACTCTAATTTAATGAATAACCGTTGTAGTATTTTTTTAAGTGAAGAGTAATAATAATAATTATAATAATACAAAAAAAGAATTCTAAAATGAAAATGTTACTACATTGCATCTAACATGTGTGGCTGCCTCTTTTAATAGGCATGTAAATTATGTCAGTGCTTATAGTGCATCTTTAAGTAACAGGGAGCATCAGATAATGATACGGAGCTAAACAGACACATTTTATCACATTCTTTCTATTATCACCTTTAGATTCCCCATATGTAAAGACAGCAATATTTCTATCTCCAGCCTCTAGAACCACTATCTCTGCCTTGCAAGCAACTTCCTGTACCACCCATTCTTCATTTAGGATTCAAACCTACTCAGCCAACTCAGGAGCATGACGTCATTCATTACTTGCATCCACAGGACTAGCTGTTTGGTTGAGGAGTAAAGTATTTTCGTTATGTACAATTATTGCCAATTTTCTTGTATCCTGTTGGATTTTTCAAGGATATTGCAAGACACTGAAAATCTGTATAAACCACAGGTTTCGTGTGAAAGCGTGTATTTTTTTAATGAACTGTGAATATTGCAATTAAATTGGGTCGCTTGTCAATGCATTATCAATACGTTACATTAATAACAAATATAACCTGAAGTGTCCTTTGAAAGGGGAGGTCCAACTTACCTGGAATTTAGACCATTGAGTAAATTATTGAAAAGCACGTTTAGCTTCTGTTAACCTCTTTTGTATGTGATATTCCTTTTTATTTTAAGTTAATATAAAAGATATAACAATTTACATCACAATTCAGTTCAGTCAAAGCAAAGCCTGGGTAACCATTGCAAGAGAGGAGAATAAGCAGAAACATTATTTCATTTCTACTTTTCATTGGATGAAGAATCCAGGAGGTTATAACAATGATTGTCAGGGAACTAAGATGAAGGCGCCCAGTCAGAGGATACAGAGTGTGGACTTTAACATTTAATATAGAAACATAGAATGTGACGGCAGATAAGAACCATTCGGCCCATCTAGTCTGCCCAATTTTCTAAATACTTTCATTAGTCCCTGGTCTTATCTTATAGTTAGGATAGCCTTATGCCTATCCCACGCATGCTTAAACTCCTTTACTGTGTTAACCTCTACCACTTCAGCTGGAAGGCTATTCCATGCATCCACTACCCTCTCAGTAAAGTAATACTGCCTGATATTATTTTTAAACCTTTGTCCCTCTAATTTAAGACTATGTCCTCTTGTTGTGGTAGTTTTTCTTCTTTTAAATATAGTCTCCTCCTTTACTGTGTTGATTCCCTTTCTGTATTTAAATGTTTCTATCTTAAATGTAATATAATTCTTTAGACATCCAAAATACACATTTGTGGAATATAAAGATACGTTAACATAATATCTTGAGAAGTGACAGTTCCCTTTTTAAACAACACTTATGTATCAAAACCTCTACCGAGCACTACTGAGCGTATGATGTCTGGAGGCCCCTCAATGTATGTAACCAAACCATTTGCTTCCTACCAGGTGTCCTAGTGACTTCCTGTATGGAGAGGCCCTGCTGTGCAGGCCCAGCTCGTTGGCTCAGTGCATTAGCTGACCTCTCTCAGCCAACGAGTTAAGCCCTGAGTTAAAAGCTTTTAACTCTCATAGAGGAAGTCACTAGTAACTGTCAAGCCATTAATAAACAGACTGACTACTTATATCAAGGGGGCACCAGGACACTCCTGGCACCAAAGCTATTACAGCAAGAATGTCAAACCCGCGGCCTACAAGGACCATCTTTGCAGCCCAGCGAACCACAAGTACAGGCTGGTGTTATAGCAGAGTAGGCACCTGCTTCCCCCACATTGCAGGTGCCTGCTCTGCTAAAACTTACCCGGCTGGGGAGGAGGGCCAGCGAGGGAGCTCAGTGTACCTGCTCCTTACTGCTCCCTCGCACGCCGTCTAAAGTGAAGCCGGGCGCAGGAATATGACGTCATATTCCGGCACCCGGCATCACTAAACAGCGCAAGGGAGCAGTGAGGAGCAGGAAGGACCCCAGGGAGATGCCCCACATCGGCTCCAAAAAGTAGGGAGCAATAGAGAAAAGTATATGTTTGTAAGAATGTGTGAGTGTGTGTGTGTGTGTGTCTGTCAGTGAGTATGTGTGTGTGTGTGTCTGTCAGTGTGTGTGTCTGTCTGTCAGTGAGTATGTGTGTGTCTGTCAGTGAGTATGTGTGTGTCTGTCAGTGAGTATGTGCGTGTGTGTGTGTCTGTCAGTGAGTATGTGTGTGTGTCATTGAGTGTGTGTGTGTCTGTCAGCAAGTATGTTTGTGTCTGTCAGTGTCTGTCTGTCTTTCAGTGAGTGTGTGTGTGTCTGTCAGCAAGTATGTGTGTGTCTGTCAGAAAGTATGTGTGTGTCTGTCAGCGAGTATGTGTGTGTGTCTGTCAGTGAGTATGTGTGTGTCTGTCAGCAAGTATGTGTGTGTCTGTCAGTGAGTATGTGTGTGTGTCTGTCAGCAAGTATGTGTGTGTCTGTCTGTCAATGTGTGTGTGTCTGTCAGTGTATGTGCGTCTGTCAATGTGTGTGTGTCTGTCAGTAAGTGTGTGTGTGTGTGTGTGTATCTGTCAGTGAGTATGTGTGTGCCTCTGTCAGTGAGTATGTGTGTGTCTGTCTGTGTGTGTGTGTCTGTCAGTGAGTGTGTGCCTGTGTGTGTGTGTGTGTGTGTCTGTCAGCAACTATGTGTGTGTCTGTCAGCAAGTGTGTGTGTGTCTGTCAGCAAGTATGTGTGTGTCTGTCAGTGAGTATGTGTGTGTGTCTTTCAGCAAGTATGTGTGGTTGTCTGTCTGTCAATGTGTGTGTGTCTGTCAGTGTGTCTGTATGTGTATGTGTCTGTCAATGAGCATGTGTGTGTGTCTGTCAGCAAGTATGTGTGTGTTTCTGTCTGTCAATTTGTGCGTGTCTGTCAGTGTGTGTGTGTGTCTGACAGTGTGTGTGTGTCTGTCAGTAAGTGTGTGTGTGTATCTGTTAGTGAGTATGTGTGTGCCTCTGTCAGTGAGTATGTGTGTGTGTCTGTCTGTGTGTGTGTCTGTCAGTGAGTGTGTGTGTGTGTGTCTGTCTGTCAGCAAGTATGTGTGTGTCTGTCAGCAAGTGTGTGTTTGTCTGTCAGCAAGTATGTGTGTGTCTGCCAGTGAGTGTGTGTGTGTCAGTGTGTATGTATGTGAGTATGTGTGTGTCTGTATGTTTGTGTCTGTCAGTGAATATGTGTTTGTGTCAGCTGGAGGATCAGATTTGGCACAGGGTGGTAGAGGGAGGTGCTGTGGTTTAGTAGAGGAGACTGGGATTTAGTAAAGGGGGGCGCTGTGGTTTAGTAGAGGGGGATGCTGTTTCTATGAAAATTTAAGGTATTTGTTTTTTTGCGGCCCACATAAACTTAAACCTTGTTTATGTGGCCCGATCCAGACTTTGAGTTTGACATGCTTGATCTAAATCATTGGAATATCTGATTATTCAAATTTCAATGGCAGTGAAACTGTGTATGGCTAGATATTGGAGAAGGGAGAAATCTCCCAATTTAGAAGAAATAATACCACAGGTTGACTACCAAGGAGTAATGGAAAAAGTGGTGTACTATAATGATGGTAATATAGGGAAATATAATAAGATCTGGAATGTTTGGTTTACATATTCTAAAGATTGAATTCTGCCCGAAAACCATATATTACATGACATTGATATCTATCATAATTGCAGCTTTGTTTTACAGGTTGATCCCCAATAGGAAATGTATGTTTTGAAACAACCTTTATTATAAAATAACATTTTAGGAATTGGATTAGAAGAGCCCCCCCCTGCCCTCCTCAGGTGTCTGTTTATATACGGTACAATATTTGTGCCTTTTGTACAATGTATTTTTTATTATGTTTGTCCTATATGCTATTTATGCATCATTGTTTATCTTTTCTTGAAGAACATAAATTTCTAATTTATGTTCCATGACTGTTTCAATAGAATATTAATACTTTAAGCATAGATAACACTATATGAACTGTGACATTTTTCATGTGTTTATATATACACTTTGACTATGATCATCACACTTGATTGTTTGGAATGGAGTTTTATTGACGCATATTTATATGTTAAAAAATAAATAAAAACATTTCAAATAATTAAATTTCACCGTGAATTGTAAGAATCAATTCCCCTAACCAAATGAGTATTCGTACATTTTAATAGACAATATGAGGGAACATAAATTATACCAGAAGGATGTACCCATTAAACACCCGAATGAAACTTGTTTGACAGCAAATGAATTGAGGGGGGAGAAAGACACACAGATGGGCCTGGGAGTGAGAAAGTCCTCAGAGTGGCTGGGGATGAAAGAGCCATACAGAAGGGCATGTGAGTGGAAATACAAAGGGGCTGGGGGTGAAAGAGAGACAAAGGGGTTGGAGAAGAGGAAAAAGAGACACAGAGGGGCTGGGGGGAGATAGACGGGCTGGTTGTGAAAGAGAAATACACAAAGGAGCTGGTAAGAGTAAAAGACACAAAGGGGCTGGGAGAGAAGGAGACTCACAAAGGGGGTGTAACGAAACACAATGGGGAAAAAAATAAGGGATAAGACACTAAAGGGGGTAATAAACAAAAGGCAGGTGAAGATGCTTTTGGGTGTGGAGGGGGCTCCAAAATCATCTTAGCCTGTGTACCCCAAAATCCTTGCACCGGCCCTGATTGCATTTATGTATTTAGGAACTGCCTCTACTCATTGATATTATCTATGATGCTCTGGGGTTGTGCTGCACCACTGGTGTTTTGAATCATCCATATTTTAGCATTTTATCCTCGATTTGCAGGGCACATACATAAAAATAAAAAAAGGCAGGGATATATTTTAGTTAGTGCGGAAATAAACCTCATAGAGTGTAAGCTTGCTTGAGCAAGGCCTGATCGCCAGTTGTCTCTGTTAACAGAGCTGCTTTCAGAAATTTTGGGGCCCCTTACACAGTGCAAGGCCTGGGACCCTGGGGCCACCCCAATACAGTCAACAGGGCCACCACCAATTCCACCACAATGTGTGTATAGTGGATACAATGTGTGTGTTTGTATAAAGGATGCAGTTTGTATGTTTAATGAATGCATTGTGTGAAGTGGATATAGTGTGTGTGTATGTGTGTGTAGTGTGTGTAGTGTATGGTGGAAGCTATGTGTGTTTGTATAGTGTATTTGTGAGTGTAGTTTGTACAGTGTGTTTAAACTAGACTACAGGGATTTGGGGAGCTGGGATGAGCATTGGGGAGCTTTTTGGGGAGTTGGAACCAGACAACAGTTAAAGGACATGTCTGGATGCGAGTTAACTAGTTTATATATCTTAATGTACCAGGTTTATAATGAATTATACGCACAATTTATTTACTTTACTGAGATGGTTTGTGTCAGAGATTCAAATATCACATACCTATATTCAAAGATTCATAGTAGTCTTTATTGCACAGTATGAAATATTTGATGTTTTTATTCAATATCATAAATTATATTTTATTTCTTAATGGTCTTTTTTCACAAATATCTGGAGATAAAATCACACCTACTTTGCAAAACATTTACATATGGGGCTGTTTACTATAGTGAGAGTTCAAAGTGATTTCAATGTATATATATTATACCCTTTTACTAACCGGTTAGCATAAACACATACAGGACAATTCACTAAAGTGAGAATTGTCTTGAATGCAAATGGAATTTAAAAATGAATTTCAAATTTAAGGTCAATATTACCAAATTGGAAAAATTCTCCAAGATGGTTATGCTTCCAGTTCAGTTACTTTGGTCTTAAACTTGAAATTCATTTTAAATTCACTTTGAATTCCAGTCAGTTCTCACGTCAGCAAATAACCCTGACATGATTTAGAGCAGGGATGGGCAGGAGTTAATTATCTGCTGTTGTTGCACTCCAACTATCATGACCTTAAGCATAGCTGAATCTAACCAGGATCTGGCTGAAGTCTGTGAGAGTTGCATTACTGGAGAGTCACCTATTGGATTATCAACATTTACAGTTTATTAAAGACTTTCCACAAACTATTGGTTCTACAAAATAACAGAGAAAGAAACCTGATTTTATTTCCATACAAAGCAATTTTATTATGCATCATATTACAGGCATGCAGTTTTATGTACAGGTAACATTAATTGTAATATTTGTGGCTCAGAGCATCGACAACAACAGCAAAGAATTTCTCGATGGCGGCTTGGACTGATGGAGTGAAAGACGATCCTAATTTTGTAGCCAGGACAATCACGAACACTTCACCAAACTGCCGTGAATGTAAAAAAAAACAACAATCAATTAATTATTATTATTATGATATTTATAGAGCGCCGTCAAATTCCACAGCGCTTTACAGGGGGTCGACGAACAGACATGTAGTTGTAACCAGACAAGTTGGACACACAGGAACAGAGGGGTTGAGGGCCCTGCTCAATGAGCTTACATGCTAGAGGGAGTGGGCTAAAATGACACAAAAAGGTAAGGATAGTATTAGACTAATGACAGTTGCAAGAGAGGAATTACTCGGGAGCTATTAACAGTTTCATTGATACGCTTTTATGAATAAGTGGGTTTTTAACGATTTTTTGAAGGAGTGGAGACTGGGTGAGCATCTAACGGAGGAGGGAAGCAAGTTCCACAGGAACGGTGCAGCCCTCGAGAAATCTTGAAGGCGAGCGTCAGAGGTGGGAGTACGGACAGAAGATAGACGTAAGTCTTCAGCAGATCGTAAGGGCCTAGACGGGACATACTTGTGTAGAAGGGAGGATAGATAGGTGGGATCAGCATTATGTAGAGATTTGAAAGCAAGAACCAGAATTTTAAATTGAGCTCTATATTTTATAGGAAGCCAATGGCAAATAACATGCATGTCCAGTGTACCCTGAGATTCAAAGGCCTCTCACTGCTCAGAATCAGCCAAACATTACATTAAGGAGATTAATGAAATCACGCACTGTGTAGTATGAGATTTGAAAAATACAGTCTGCTTTATTGAAATAAAGCTGAGTATCTGAATCTATGCTATGTTAAGGTATGATTTACAGTTATAATAAGTAGTGTAATGTAACATAAATCTGGTCTGTTTAATAATGGCCATGAGTTCAATATGGCATGGACACAGTGTCACGGTTAATGTTGACCTAGAATACAGAAGATATTGAACTAAAGGCAATTTATTCCTGGCTTAATGTAGGGGTGCCAAATCTCCATAGATTTAAAAGATGAGTATCCTCTATGCATTTGAACAACCCGTAGTAAGTTACGTACATATAAACAACTAATATCTACCTATGGAAAATAATGCCGTTGATGATAGGTTTGTTAATGTTAAGTTTGGTTTAGAGAAATTGACAGGTAGATATATATCATATATGTATGTGGTTTTTACCTCTCCTAGCGCTCTTTCAGTGTTTCTTTCTCTGACTCTGCCTCTTCCCCCCAACCACTCTCTGTCGGCGTCCCCCAAGGTTCTGTCCTTGGTCCCCTACTGTTCTCTATCTACACTGCCTCCCTTGGTAAACTCATCAGCTCGTTTGGCTTCCATTATCATTTCTATGCTGATGACACGCAAATCTACCTGTCCTCTCCTGATCTCTCTCCGCCCATCTTGACTCGTGTCTCTGACTGCCTCTTCGCGATTTCCAACTGGATGGCTGCTCAATTCCTTAAGCTCAACCTGTCCAAAACAGAACTTCTGGTCTTTCCTCCCTCAAGTGTTACTACTCCCGTGTCTGTCTCCCTCCAAGTCAACGGCACTACCATCACTTCTACCTCGAAGGCTCGCTGCCTGGGTGTTCTTTTTGACTCCAACCTCTCCTTCACCCCTCATGTCCAATCAATTGCAAAATCCTGTCGCTCCCATCTCAAAAACAAAGCATCCGCCCCTATTTAACCCCAGATGCGGCTAAGGTGCTGGTCCATGCCTGGACTACTGCAATACTATGCTCAGTGGTCTTACGTGTTCCCAGATTGCACCATTGCAATCTATAATGAATGTGGGGGCAAGGCTCATTTTCCTGTCCGCTTGCACCTCCCACGCCTCACCGCTCTGTCAGTCCCTGCATTGGCTCCCAGTTAGATATAGGGCTCAATTTAAAATTCTGGTCCTTGCTTACAAGTCCCTACATAATACTGCTTCAACCTACCTATCCTCCCTAATACACAAGTATGTCCCGTCAAGGCCCCTACGCTCTGCCAAAGACCTACGTATATCCTCTGTCCGTACTCCCACCACTAACACTCACCTCCAAGACTTTTCCAGGACTGCACCTCTTCTGTGGAACTCCCTTCCCTCCTCCATAAGAATTTCACCCAGTCTCCACTCATTCAAAAATCATTGAAAACTCACTTCTTCAAGAAAGCATATCAATTAAACTGTTAGCAGGTTTTCATCCCCCACCCTCCATGACTCCTCTCCTGCAACTGTCAAAAATTACCTATTAAGACTTCAGCGAATACTTTTCTAACAACTTACTTCGTACCCCTACTTTTACCCTTTTGTGTCACTATACCCCACTTCCTCTAGAATGTAAGCTCATTGAGCAGGGCCCTCCACCTCTCTGTTCCTGTGCGTTGAGTTGTCTGGTTACAAGTAAATGTCTGTTAGTCCACCCTTTGTACAGCGCTACGGAATCTGATGGCGCTATATAAATAATAAAATAATAATAATAATTTTTTTAAAAGTCATCAACATCCAAAATGGAGACATAGAATAAATGTAGCTCCTTGTTTATAGAGGATATTAAAGTTTATTTAAATATATTTATTAATAAGTGAAAAACCTAGAGCCATATTGGCAACAGAGGCTCTTGACATCATGGCCATCTTAACAACATAGGAACAATAGTCTACAAAAGGCAAGCCCTCTACTTGTTGTAAACTACCCATAATAATTTTTGCCGTAATGCTGGCAAAGCATAAGAAGATATGTAGTCCACAAGATCTGGAGTGCTTGTCTTTTGTAGACTATTGTTCCTATGCTGCTAAAATGGCCATACAAGAATTAAATATCTACTTCAAACATAAAAGCGGTGTTTTAAGAAAGCACTGGTTTTGGTCACAGTAAGCCTTCCTATTCTGCCCTCTCACTCCCCCACACTTTAGTCCAGTGTCATGCTTTGCAGCTTAGTTATTCTCTCCTGATGTCAGGGAGGAGGTTGAGGGGAGAGCAGAGGCAAAACGAGGGACAGTAATGTGCCCCCCACTTGCTGTCTCTCACCGGCATCCTGTGTGTGCTGACCACTGATGCCAAACATGCACAGAATCAACATCCAGTCTTGTTCTGGGCTGACTAATCACGCTCCAATAACGCTGACGGAGGTGGATTTACACCTACAGCAGCAAAAGGGTTAATTTCCGTATGTGCAGCATTTCATAGCGAAACAATACACTTACAGAATCCAGACACCATGACCACTTCAAATTACTGAAGTAGTTAAGTTTCTTGGAGTAACCCTTTAAGCATTATGGGAACCACAATGACTACATGTAGATCCATAGAGGGGCAAATGACAAATAAGACCATCACTTTTCTCTGTTTCCCAGTTTCCAGAATGACAAACAAAGAAGAGCTGAAATCTGTCCATGCCACTTATGTTATTACTATACAGAAGTAAAGGAGAGCATACTACTACTGCTGCTAATATTAATACTAATAGCAATAAATACAAACTTTGAAGTTCTCTGGATCCACATGCAGTTTGTTGGCATGGTTATCACTGATATTACGGAGAGTGGCCTTAATACTATCCAAGTTGTGAGATGCTTTGAGAAGAGATCCCAGGACCTTCTTGCCGTGAGCCTTTACTTTAGAATTTCCAGAAATTGCTGTTACATTGGAGACATTTCAAAAAGAACTGAAATACCTCTGTGTCCAAGGGTAGACCAGGAGCACTCTAGTGAAAGAGAGATACAATTTACAAATACAATGAATACATATCTGACTGGGAAATGGAATGGATTTTAAAGTATGATTCTAATCAATGTACCAGTAAGTGTTTATATTACAGATCTATCCTGTCAAACTGTCTATGGGGCCTACTACACAGCCATGACAAAAGTTATTTTTATACATGTCCATAGATTAGCCGCCTAAGGACACAGACTTAGAGTAAAAGGCAATCATGACGGTGTCCTTAAGTAGTTTACTTATCATGTTTATGGAATTATATTTAATTGGGTAATTTAAAATAAATCCTTTGGAAGACTGAAATAAATTTAGCTCCCTTCAATATAAAAGTTCAGAATTAAATATAAACAGCAAACAGATCACATATAAACTTCTGTAATGTAGATATACTTTCCAGTAGACAATCCCTGTACTAGTATCTCAGTATAGATATAAACATAATATCTTCTCATCCAGGACACTGATCACAATATCAATGCCTACATAGCATCATAGAATTGATTGCAATATTGGGTATTTAAAGACATATGTAGAAACATATAAGGCTGATTTTAATCTTGCTGAGATGTGACAAACCCAATCCTAGATCACACATAACCAAACATAATGACATATAACATTATATTCAATAACAATTGCATGATTCTAGTACTTGTCTATCCCTTATCTAACCAAGGCTGACATAATGAACACATAAAAAAATAAAAACAGTCTCCATATTTCATTAACATAATAAAAAATATATTAAAAATTTTTAGAAAAAATTAGAAAGTGAAAATAAATTCATTGTACAGTGAAAAATAGAAATAATTTATAAAGATTATTAGAATTTACATCTGCTGTGAAGTGTTTAATGCAGAGAGTCATATATATAGTGTATATAGTGTATAACCCAAATAACTCATGTGTATGTGTAATAAAATGTGCAAATGATTGCAAGCAATTGGCTAATTAGTCACAATTTGATGAAAAAAGAAAGAAAAATTCAGGACCAAATCCAAAAGAGATATAATCCCCAATCTTCCATCCAAATATGTCATACCACGGCAATAAATCCACTCCAACAAAAATACCATTGGCCATAAAGTTACTAAATCTCATATTTGAGGCTATCAACCTGATTAAAAGGGACAAATAAATCTATGTTCTCTATTCATTTAAACCCCAATTATTGAAATAACACTAATTAATTTTGTATGTAAATGCTAATATAATTCATCAAAAAAAGTCTAAATATCATAATCAATTAATGTCACACACAAAAATCATATTACAAATCCAATGATAAATCATTATATATAATACTTAATGTCTATGTAACATATTATCTACAATTATAGTCAGCATTTACATAACACATTTTGTGCCATTTAAATACAATATATCTCCATGAAATCTATTGTACAAATCTAAGGGAAAACAAGGCATAGAAAATCACAATTATCAACAATTCAAAATCCAATGTTTGGAACTGTGATATGATCGAAAGGAAATTATTTTATGACTATGAGAGACAATTAAAAATGTGCTCAAAAGAGTGTTATCCAGCATAATCATCACAGATCTGTGAAAATGATCTGTAAGATATAATGATAAAGATTAATAAAAAAATAAATTAAAAACAATAAAGGTAAACTTTGACTTACATAAATGGATTGAGGTCATACTCTTGATTGAGTCCCCTAGGTGTTAGGGAATTCAATTCCCTAATCCAAAATGCTTCTCTAAATAGTAATCTTTTTAATCTATCTCTCCATCGAGCGTTTTCCTCTACATGTTATATAATTTGAAATTTAAGTTGAGTTATATCGTGTTTTGCTTCTAAAAAATGCAATGGAATGGGTAATTCAAGCATTCAAGGATAGAGGTATACAAACTATTGACGTCAAAATTCACTAGCGTTATATTTTGTACATTTTTAATAGTTTTAAGTTTATCAAGTACCTCAAAAGTGTCTTTAACATGAAATTTTATTTGTTTTAAAAAGGGTCTTGATATTTGATCCAGAAATTTTGCAAGTGGGGACAAGATGGACCCTTTTCTGGATCAAATATCAAGACCCTTTTTAAACCAAATAAAATCTCATGTTAAAGACACTTTTGAGGTACTTGATAAAGTTAAAACTATTGAAAATGTACAAAATATAACGCTAGTGACTTTTGACGTCAATAGTTTGTATACCTCTATCCCCCACGATGAAGGCATAGCAGCAATGGTTGAAGCTTTTGAACAATTGGGATTTAAAGATCCTTATTTATCATTTTTGATACAATTACTTAAGTTGGTGATGACAAAATTATTTCTCGTTTAGAGATGAGTTCTTTATTCAAACCAAGGGGACTTCGATGGGTTCCAATGTGGCCCCCACATATGCCGGCATATATATGGCCAAATTGGAAGAAAACGTCATACATCAAAATGAGCTATATAAAAAATACATTGTAAAATGGTGGCGTTACATTGATGATGTGCTGGCATTGTGGTGTGGCCCATTGGAACCCCTCGAGAAATTCTTTCAATTTCTCAACAATTGTTCCAACAGTCTCAAATTTACAATGGAAATGGATCAATGTTCCATTGCCTTTTTGGATATTTTGATCTTTAAGAGCAATGGTAAATTCAAGACAAATCTTTATAGAAAAACCATTGGATAGGAATACCCTATTACATTATGATAGTTTTCACCCGGTTTCCATGTTTAAATCCATTACTAGGAGTCAATTTATGAGGGTGAAGCGATTAGTCTCTAAAACAGAATTGGTAGATCAAGAGTTGAAATCTATGACCAATAGATTTTGTGAGAGAGGATATCCTTTATCCACCTTAAAAACTTAATTAAGATACCTAAATAATAAAGAAGGAAAACATGATGAAATTTCATTTAAAGAAGTGAAAACAAAAGATAGAATAAAACTTGTACCTAGATATAGTACATTGTCTTCTGGTTTAAAACGAACTATAGATAAACATTGGCATATATTATCGAATTGTCACCCTAGTATCGTCGAATTTAAAAACAAACCTTTGATGGTACACAAACGTGCTCCCTCTTTGAGGGATAGACTAGTAAAAGCCAAACTTTCTTCCCCATTGAAATCTAAATTAAACTCTAAAAGAAATGGTAATTTTCCATGCCATAATTGCATATGTTGCAACTCCATGATAAAGGGCTCTATATTTGTTCATCCTTACAAGGGTAATAAATATATGATTAGACAATTTGTAACATGTGATACCACACACGTTATATATATCTTAAAATGTCCGTGTGGTTTGATCTATGTAGGTCAAACTACTCAAAAAATGAAAGAGAGATTTTCAAAACACAAGTCTTCTATTAGAACTAAAATGCTTGAATTACCTATTCCATTGCATTTTTTTAGAAGCAAAACACGATATAACTCAACTTGAATTTCAAATAATAGAACATGTAGAGGAAAACGCAAGAAGGAGAGATAGATTAAAAAGATTACTATTTAGAGAAGCATTTTGGATTAGGGAATTGGATTCCCTAACACCTAGGTGACTCAATCAAGAGTATGACCTCAATCCGTTTATTTAAGTCAAAGTTTACCTTTATTGTTTTAAAATGTTTTTAATTAATCTTTATCATTATGTCTTACAGATCATTTTCACAGATCTGTGATGATTATGCTGGATAACACTCTATTGAGCACATTTTTAATTGTCTCTCATAGTCATAAAATAATTTCCTTTCGATCATATCACAGTTCCAAACATTGGATTTTGAATTGTTGATAATTGTGATTTTCTATGCCTTGTTTTCCCTTAGATTTGTACAATAGATTTCATGGAGATATATTGTATTTAAATGGCACAAAATGTGTTATGTAAATGCTGACTATAATTGTAGATAATATGTTACATAGACATTAAGTATTATATATAATGATTTATCTTTGGATTTGTAATATGTTTTTTGTGTGTGAAATTAATTGATTAAGATATTTAGAATTTTTTTGATGAATTATATTAACATTTACATACAAAATTAATTAGTGTTATTTCAATAATTGGGGTTTAAATGAATAGAGAACGTTTTTTTTTTTTGTCCCTTTTAATCAGGTTGATAGCCTCAAATATGAGATTTAGTAACTTTATGGCCAATGGTATTTTTGTTGGATTGGATTTATTGCCATGGTATGACATATTTGGATGGAAGATTGGGGATTATATATCTTTTGGATTTGGTCCTGAATTTTTCTTTCTTTTTTCATCAGATTGTAACTAATTAGCCAATTGTATGCAATCATTTGCACATTTTATTACACATACACATGAGTTATTTGGGTTATACACCATATACACTATGTATATGACACTCTGCATTAAACACTTCACAGCAGATGTAAATTCTAATAATCTTTATAAATTATTTCTATTTGTCACTGTACAATGTATTCATTTTCACTTTATAATTTTTTCTAAAAATTCTTTTTTATTTTTTTTATTTTTATTATGTTAATAAAATATGGAGACTGTTTTTATTTTTTTATGTGTTCATTATGTCAGCCTTGGTTAGATAAGGGATAGACAAGTACTAGAATCATGCAATTGTTATTGAATATAATGTTATATGTCATTATGTTTGGTTATGTGTGATCTAGGATTGGGTTTGTCAACAAGACATCTCAACAAGATTAAAACCAGCCTTATATGTTTCTACATATGTCTTTAAATACCCAATATTGCAATAATTTCTATGATGCTATGTAGGCATTGATATTGAAATTGTTTTGCGCCTACGCTATACCACGCATGTGCACTGTCTGTTCTAATTTCGGAGATATGTTGTGTTGCACGTGCGCAGCGTTGCGCATGTGCACTATAGATTTGTTAGTTCACGTATGCGTACTGAGATGCTTGTGTGAATTCAAGCATATCCAATCATGTGACTTGAGACGTCCGAGACACCGTACGTGGTCACGTGATCGGACACATCCCATTTCGTCCGGAAATGTAAGTAAGGAGCTTTACTTTAGTGCTGTTTATATATAATTTAATCTATTTTAATTTAAAAACAACTCGAAACACCTTGCTTACAATTAAATGATTAGATTAAATAATTATCTCATTTGTACACTATTGGCTGAATTTGCTTGTGTGATCTGACATCCTCAATATGTAAGTAAATGATTGGAGAGACAATTCTTTTTTTATGTTTTGATCAATATATTTAAAATTAATGATAGTTATTTCACCTGTTTTATCACTTGTAATTTAGTCACATACACCTATATATTGTTTGTGATTGATGTGCTTTAGTAGCTTGATAAAGACCCTAAGGGGTTGAAACGTTGCTTTTTGTTCTGTGGTTCAAATAAAATTGTCTTGTTTGGAATTCATTGAAATGCCTGGATTATTTTCATATTCAAATTCCACATTTGGTCATCTTTGGTACTGGGACTTGTCCAGCATAGCACCCAGGATTCCAAGACGAAGGGATGAGTGCACTTCCATCACATATATGACAATGTAATTACATGACCCACCATTGTGACATGCTAAATGAACTAAACTGGCTGTCGCTGGAATCCAGACGCACCCTTCATCTTTCCAGCCTTGTGAGCTTTTCTGGGAAGCTCCCACCCTACCTGAGCAGAATGCTCTCCCCGGCTGTTCCCACCTCCTATAACCTCCGATCCAGTACCAGCACTTTATTTAGTCTACCTCAATTCAAAAAGAAAGCAGCCTGATCCTTCTTTTCCTACAGAGCACCACAAATATGGAACGACCTCCCGAACACTTTCAAATCTTCCCCAAGCCTAAAGTCCCCCTCTACATATCTCAAAACAGAATGCACATGTCATGGTTGATTATATATTTCTTACCTGTTCTGTGTTAAATTTTGTATACATTGTGTATTAATATTGTTTTTGTATTTTGTAACAATACAATGTTTTGTGGACCCAGGACATACTTGAAAACAAGAGAAATCTCAATGTATCCTTCTTGGTAAAATATTTTATAAATAAATAAATAATAATTTTCCTAGTAAATTGGTCTTAATTTAGACTGGCAACTATGTTTCTTTAAATTTCACACACTTTGGTTCTTTATAGGACATAACTGGTATAATTCTTATATGATCACTGTAGCGGATTGACGGGCACCCCGACTGGGTAACTCCGTTGAAGGATGCTCCTAGCGCTTCCTGAGTAAACCAAGCACTGCAGCAGACACCATAACCACCGTAGACTCCTCCAGAGAGCAAGGCAGGAACAAGCTCTTAAAAAAGCTTAGGAGTGATTATAGCAAGGGAATATGCAGAGCATAGCAATCCCTTGTAGCAGATTCCCCCAATAAGAGACAGCACTCTAAATTGAGGGTGAAGTAGAACTGTTTTACTTGGCACCAAAGGGCCTTCTTTTATGCAGGTTTAACACATACAGGACCGCCCACAGGGTTTTTCAGAACAACCAATAAAAACATTAAAACACATACAATAAAGTAAACTACTCCCAGCAGAAATCCCCCCTCTGCCTGTGATACAATTATCTCAAGACAATAGACTAACTTAATTAGCACAGGCAGAAAATATACAGTTTTTACACAATTCTTATAACTTTAAAAGTATGCATGCAATATTATTAAAAGTTACATATTTGTAAGCGTCCTTCAAATATAAATATACTCAAAAATCATTCAAATTGGTCCAGTGGTTCAAAAGTTAGGTCGAAAGTCCTTTGTGACCACTGAAGCATGGCTTTTCCAGCCCAAACCAGTTCCACAGAATCCTCTATCCTGGAGATAATTGGGAAGTAATCCAATTATCTTCAAGGACAGAGGCAAAACTCCATTGAACACATGGAAGCAAAAGACAATAAAATACATAAAAATATATAACTGTGCAGCTATTGCATAAAACAGGTACATTCAACATATCCCCAGATATCTTAGATCTGAGCGCACATTATTACTGAATGGCTCTCAGATCACATACATACAGTTCAATTTCCATGGAGTAAAGTCTTTCACATAGTCTTTTGTTATACAATGGGCTCCATGGCATAGCTATCTGGGGTATCACTGTTCAAATAGGGCAAGTACCGAATGACCCGGCTTTCGTGTCTTTGCAGGGGAAAATCAAGCATTTCAACATGGGGCCATAGTCACAGGGCAGGAGGCTGGCAATCAGTCTTCTCCAATGCCCAGTGGCGAGGCTGACTGCGCCACAATCACTATTCCACTAACACTGCTTACAAAGGAGACTAGTCATGTCTCGTTAGCTTCTACACAATCACTAATTACTTGTACCTTGTAATGATATTGCAGACATTACTAAGTAATTACTTGTAACTTGTAATGATATTGCAGACATTGTTAACTATTCTACTCCCTTAACATTGGTGGCATTGCTATTGGGGGTATTTGGGGGTCATGGTTCCCCTGCACACTGCCTTGTTTCCATTTGGCCCCCTTACAAAGCCATTATTTAATTTGTATAGCATATACTGCTAACTGGAGGGCCAGATGTTGCACAAGCAGGCAGGGAAATTAAAAGACCTCCCTGACAGAACCTGCGCCGCCTGATATTTTTCCTCAGCATTGTTCCAATCAATTTGACTGGCACCAAGCAAACTATTTATCTATGAGGCAGACATACTGTTCTCTGGGCAGTATTCTTCCCGTGTGCGGAACTTGCAGTGGGTGGGGCACACTCCTTCCTAACACAGACTAAATGCTCTGTTGTGGCTTCCCCATCCCAGTAATCTGTGTTTAGGAGTTGTCTTTAGTGGCGTAACGTGGGTTGCCAGCACCATGGTAAGGCAAGTATTGCACTCACTAGTCGGTGGACTGCTAGCACTCCCAGAGTCCTTTAACTTGTATTTAGACATCCTCTCTCCTCCTTTCCTTCCCAACTTCTCTCAGTGATGTGTGTCACACATTGCATTGCGTAATTCTTAAAATCCACCTCATTCCTAAAATAAGAATGTGGTTTTATAAAATGAGGTAACTCTCAGTGTCATGCATATCACGGAGACAAGGCGTGTAGGGAAGTAGAAGAGAGACTATCTACACACCCATTACCAGCGTAACAGTATGATAAGGGTTATATGAGGACAGTATGGCAGTAACTTGCAAGACAAATACTGTAAACTGTTATGTGGCTACGTTTATTTCCCTCGTCATGTTGAAAAACTGTGTAGAATGTTCAAACTTTGGAAGATTTTCTGTGTGTGTGTGGGGGGGGGGCACACTAGTTTTTTTATTTATTATTGCACTTTTTTTTTTGCACCCCTAACAATTTTGTACCTCAAGCAACCGCCCCTGTGTCCACGCCCACACTACGCCACTTGTCGCATTGACAGTGAGTGCTCTGCTCAGCCATCACCTATAGTGGAGTGACACCTGCAGATATGTGGGGGGGGATGTTCCAGATCATACATTAGTGGTTCTTGGTCTGTGGGGTGTGGTGCCAGCTGGAAGTGCATTCATGCCAGGCTGACATGCACAAGCCTGTCCTCTTTCCAAAGACCACCCAATCCATCCTGAAGAAATTCTTGGGTGCACCCCCTATTGAAATGAGCTGCACACACCTATTCTGAGCTCCCCTTCCACTTAATTTTAGCTCTACAGTAGGTGTTTGACTTCCCATTATATCCTTTGACAACTAGAGGGTCCTTAACTAGTCTGTTTTCAGACATTTTTGCATTCCTATGGAATTTAGAGAACATTGCATTTGCTCATATCTCAGGTCCTTAACATCTCAGTCAAAAACCATAGCTGCATTTCTTACTCTTTATTTATTATGGTGCATTGCATTTTTATGTATTTAGGAACCATGTCAAGTCTATCTATCTAATCCGTGGGGGTAAGCACCAGGGCAAGAGCTCCTATTGGGACTCCATGCCAAGCAGGTACCCATGTCAGGTAACCCATGTCAGGTTTGAAAGGCTGAATTTGATTGACACAAGGCTTTTTTCATCCTATATATAGCTAATTAATAATAATGTGGAGCTGCAATTTTATTATATTGTTGCAATATTATTCATATTGCATGGAGACTTTGAGTGCACTATTTTAGGACTATTCAGTTAAATGCAAGGGATGTGATTACCAGAAGAGAGAGAGGAGACATGGCACAGCAATCGGTGCTTCACAGAATCCTGATAGAGCATGCTCACTCCTAGGAATTCAACTTCCATGCCACTCAGCAACCACTGATAAGGTAGGAGGAGAAAAAGGAGAGCTGTGATAGAAAGAGCGAAGTGGATATAAACAGAGGGACCAAAGGGGGAAAAAGGGTCCTGCATGGGACACAGGTGGGCATAGACAACCTCATGCAGATGGCAGGTCTATGGACAGGGGTACAAAAGTACAGGAAGGGAACATGGGCAGATGGACTCAAGATGGAAAAAGGGGAGGTGGACAGGAAGACACAATTATGGGAAATGGATATGTACAGAAATACACAAGTGGGGCCAGTGGGCTATGGACAGAAGGATGCATCGGAGAAAGGGAAATATACACGAAGGGACACAAGTTAAAGGGGAGGCTTTATGCATAGGGACACAAGTGGGGGAAGGGAGAGTATGGGGAGATGGACAAAGCATGAAGTAGTTATGGTGCCAGGAGTTCCCTGTGACCCCTTGAACAGTAAGTAGCCAAACTGTTTAAGAACAGTTTAACAGCTTACTTGGGATCTGCCAGTTGCCCGTCGCCACCTCGTCTGTAGGCATAAGCGCCTGCCAGGAACCTCCATAAGCAAGTGCAGGTCTGGCTCATTGGATGTTTCTGCGGCCCCTGTCTAACTTCTGGGCCCTAAGCAGATGCCTAGGGCCACCCTATGGTTAATCCTGGTCTGTGTTAAAAGGAGATCTAAAGGTTCTGAAGAGATAGTGATTGCATGTGTGATTGACAGTTCTCTCTCTAATGCTGTGATTACAGAGAACAGAGCACTCGAAGCGGGGAAATCTCGCCACTGATGTCAGTACAACCCACGCAATAGGGTTCGGTTTTGTGTTTGGTTTGGGAATTTAGAGATATTTAACAATTAGGGGGACTTTGGTTTACGGTACATCTGTCTTAAATATGCCATTTTCTGAAACTCTGGAGACTGATTGCCAGGCAAAGTGTGTCTGAGAGTGATGGGAGTTATATGGAACCATAGATAATGAGGTGTATGGATTGCGGGATAAAACTTACCAGGAAAGGTTAAAGGATCTTAACATGTATAGCTTGGAGGAAAGACGAGACAGGGGGGATATGATAGAAACATTTAAATACATTAAAATCAGCTCTATTCCTTCTATAATGTACTCAATTTGTTCTGGTTTGAATTCCTTCAATTCTGTTAGAAAATATCTTGCTGCTCTACAGCCATAAGAGTGTGGAATATTGCTGTAGAGTGCTGCCACATCACATGTCACTAGGATGCAATTTTCATCCCAAGTTATATTCTCTAACCTATTCAATACTGTAATTGTGTCTTTAATATGTGATTTTGTATTTAAAACCAATGGTTGCAGTTGTACATCTATGTACTGGGACAATCTACTGGGGATAGAATCTATCCCTGCTATAATTGGTCTCCCAGGGGGCTTCCTCTCATCCTTGTGGACTTTGGGCAAAAAATAAAACACTGGGATCTTCAGAAATTTGATATTCAGGAATTGAAATTCTTTTGAACTCAAGATATTATTCTGGAATCCTTTCTCAAAAAATCTTAAAAAAGATGCATAAATACTTTCACTCGGGTTTGTTTTAAGTTGTTGGTATGTGTTGGTGTCTTTTAAAATATTCTTTGCTTCTATGTCATAAAATTGCCTCAACATTAAGACTATTCCTCCTGCCTTATCAGCCGGTTTTATAATTTATATGTATATATTTCTGACAGAATCGAAGGAATTCAAACCAGAACAAATTGAGTACATTATAGAAGGGATAGAGCTGATTTTAAAGAACAACTTCTTTTGGTATGATGATACCTTCTTTCTACAGATGAATGGGATGGCCATGGGGACCAAGTTTGCCCCCAGCTACGCCAACTTATTTATGTCATTTTGGGAGAAGTTTTTTTATCTATGATGGACATGGCTGGGTGGAGAACTTGGTCTTCTATGGCCGCTACATAGATGACATATTGCTCATCTGGAGAGGTGAAGAGAAGGATTTGATTATATTTCTTGAATTTTTAAACACCAACGATTGGGGTATTAAACTTAGTAGTATATGGAGTAAAAATTTGGTTACATTCTTGGACCTAGATATTTTTGTGGAAGAAGGAAACATCAAAACGAGGAATCACTTTAAGAAAGTAGATTGCAACAGCTTTATAGAGAGGGCAAGTTGCCATCACTTCCCCTGGCTAGAGAATGCACCGAAGGGGCAGTTCTTGAGGATTAGACGCAATTGCAGTGACCTTAGTGTCTATGATGAACAGTCTCAACACATAAAAGCGGATTTCCTAGCCAAGGGTTATGATATCCATAAACTAGAGAATTCAAGAAATTAAGTGAGAAATAGAGAGAGAAAAGAACTGTTATCTTATAAGAACAAGGTAACCACAGATGGACAAGTTGTACTATTTGTTTGTAATTATAATTCCCATAATTATCAAATCAATCAAATTATCAGAAAATACTGGCCAATACTATTACAAGATCCTGTTTTGAAACAAATCCTTCCCTGGTATATAGGGGTGCTAAAAACTTTAAGAACACTCTTGTAAAAAGCTCATTGAAGGAAGTCAAAACCTCCCCCACTATATTTAATAATGAAAAAGGCTTCTTTGGCTGTGGAAATGTGCGGTGTGTAAGAAGTCAGGGTGTACTCGGAGAAAAATTGGAGATATTGACCTAAATGGAGCAGTTAAAACTCAAATAAAACAATTTATAACTTGTTACTCTAAAAATGTGATCTATCTTCTGACTTGTCCCTGTGGGTTAAATTATGTGGGGAGAACAACTAGACCCTTACATGTCAGAATTAGGGAACATATACATAAAATACAAACAGGCTATGAACAACACAGTGTGTCTAGTCATTTTAAACTGTATCATGACCAGAACCCAGAGGGTTTAACCTTCTGTGGTATAGACAAGGTGCAAAAAAATTGGAGAGGTGGGGATTTTATAAAGGATTTGGGGAAACGAGAGATGGAGTGGATTTACAAATGGAACACTCTAATCCCTTATGGCCTCAATTCCGATTCTGAATTATGTAATTTTTTATAATGTTCTTATTTTTAGTAATATTATTTTGTATTATGTCATTTTTTATAATGTTTTTATTTTTAGTGATATTACCTATATAAAAGAATTATTTTTAGTTTGCACCTGGAATAAAAATTTGCAATATTAAGAAGGGATGTACAACTTTAAGTTTAGTCTACGTCATTTTTATAATATCATTACTTTTAATAATATTATTATCCTCCATAAAGAAAAGTAATTGAATTAAAATGTATTATGAATCAATTTGAAATAATGATCTAATTGCAGTAATATAACAAGTAATGTTTAATGGGACTGGATACAATTACCTTCTAAGAATGTATTTTTTGTAACAGCAATGTGGCAATATGTAAACATAACCCTGGGATACCAAATTCAGAGTTCACAAAAGATCTGCATTTTATTACCTTTTAAATAAGTGAAAGTGCGAATTTATTGTTTTTACGATATCTTTTGATTTTATAAGCGCTTATGTTATACCATGGACTGATACTGCGCTTTCTTCTTTTATTTTTATGATATTGATTTTCCGAATGAAGAATAAATCTTACAAGGTAAATTTTGAAGCTATAAAGCTAATTGGATTAACGAAATGGGAGCAGGATATTACCACCCGTTATAGAGAAAATGATCGGGAGGACAGCATCCCGGTACCTTTGGGTACCGTAATGAAAAAGAGGCATGGACCGCACACGCTGTGCTGGTGGGCGGCACCAGCGTGTGATGACGGACTGTACTGAGCACTTTCCCTGACGATTTGAGGGGATTTAAACCGACGAAGGGAACCCAGAGACATTTATCATTTTTATTGAAATTGGCGAAACGCGTTCCTGTTTTTTATAGCTGATATAAGCAATTAATCTTATATGTATAGTGAATAAAATTGTTAAAATTGTTCATTTTTATTTTAAAAGAAATCGGTTCCAGTTTTTATTTTGCATCAAAGAAGGAGTGCAGTTCTTGATCTGCACAATGCGGGTTAATTGAGTCATATTTCTATGACTCCATCATTGTGAGTATTGATTCTCGAAATTTTATACTTCCATATTTATATATTTAAACGATACTGCGCAATTGGTGGTACCCCTTGTTGTGTTTTGTAGAATCAAAGGAAAATACATCAATAGTAGGGGTGGATCGCCTAAACGGATCCAAAGACGCATTGGCCCACAGCTCCACGTCTCTGAGTTTAAATATTAGCAGTTCGTTTTTATCAATTTTATTGTATGATTTGCACTATGTTAAATTGTCTTTTACAGATATTTAATTGAGATACTCGAATTACCTTCATTTAAGCCATCTTAAAAGGTGATTTACTATTTCTTTTTTCTAATAAGCGCTACATTCATATATTTTGTATTGTTTTTTGTGTGTGACATTGGAAGGGGTCATTGGAATGTTTTAGCAGCTGTATTTAATCTATTTTTCATATGGTTTATTATTGATTGAATCTATAAGCGCTGGTTTCTTTAAAGTTTTGAAGTGTACCTTTAACTCAGAGCAAGGAAAAACAACATGAAGCGCTCAAGTTAGTTTTGAACAATAACCTCGCCAATGATGTGTCCGAGCAGGTTACACCTTACACCATGTTACACCTTACAAAGATAAGTGATGCCTTTTCAGCAGTAGCTTGAGAGCTTCTTATTGCCACCCCAGATAGATATGTAAGATTTTAAAGAAGGTACATGTAATAATAGTTAAAAGAGTAACTGCAAAAGTAAGATTTATTTAAAATCAAATTTTATTTGACTTTTTTCTTTCTTGACGTGCAGTTTTTGGTGCTGGTACAAGTCATTTAGTGGTAGCCGTGGCTGAGGGCATGCACAGAGACTGCAAAGAATTTCTCGACTGCGCCCTGGACTGCAGGAGTGAAAGCAGATCCTAGTTTAGTAGCCAGGACAATCACGAACACTTCAGTGAAACGCTGCAAATAGAAGTAAACAAGCCATTAATATTTCTTTGAAGTGATACAGTTTATTCATATATTAAAAACCAGACAATCAAACAATAGCAGGTCTGAAGGTGTAAAGCACCCAGTCTTCAAGGTGAATCAACAGTTTATGATTTTGGCATTTCCAATTCTTTTCCTATTGGACTATAAAACCTATATTGGGTGTGCCTTGTGGACTGGGTTAGGAAAAACAGATCTAGAGGTCATTTACTACCAACCATATACAGCATTAATATGCTTCAGAAGTAAAATAAGTTAATATCAGCTATTCCTTTGGCATCCATGCTGTATGCAACCACTTGCATTCCCTGCTGCAACAAATGAATGTTAATTCTTCTGACAATCTTTTTCCTATTTATCTATTCCACAAATAGAGAAAATATCAGACATTAAATTAGGTTTACCGAATGTTATTAACCCTTTGAGGACTATAAGATTACCGTCATCAATATGAAAATAATTATATTTTTTTCCCTTTAAGAATGTTTTTGAAAAATAAATAAAACCATTTCCACATTTTTGTGGGAGGAATTATGACACGGGACAAATGTGTCCCTATGGTCCTCAAGGGAGACAAGGTTGCAAGCATTGTCTGTTTCTGGAACTTTAAATGTATTTTACAATGAATTCTAAAGAAGTTCATAATCAATTGAGTCAAATTCTCCAATAACATCTGACTATTTAGGTCACTTTTTATGGAACGCCAAGTTTTTAAGTTCGTACACTTCAGTTGCTGTAACTAAGCCATTTCGTGTAATAACTGGCAAAAAGCTAGATCCATTTGTTGATAAGAACTAATATCTTAAATCAAACCAAAAAAATAAAATTATTTTAAGTTCTCAATCAGATGATACAGGCAATTAAAAACATCGGACAAATACGTCCCTTGGTCCTCAAAGGGTTTTTAAATCTTGAATGATTAGAATTACCATATGGAATTTAACTTGAAAAAGTGACAATAAACATAGTTATTATATGTGCAATTTAGAATAAATACCCCCAATTTAAACACAGATACATATTAGATTAACCCAGTATCTTGCTAATCAAGCGTTAGGTTGTTTCGGTATAATAGTTTTCAATAAGAGAGAGGAAACACGACTGTTTGTTTAAAAGATTTTTTACGGATTTCACTTTTGATAAAAGTCATTTCTACCGTCATAAAACAGTACTTTGTTTCATACAACCATTGTTAAATATAGATTAATCATTTTCAAAAATAACTCCAATAATTAAAGCATGCGTTGTTAAAAACTTTAAAACTTTTTTTGGAACAAACAAGTGTGTTTCTGACACTGTTATCGTTACTAGCCATGGCTTCTCCTTATCTGAGATTTTCGTAGTATTGAAAGGAAAACACTAGACAAAAACAAAGACAAAACATAACAAGAGTAATAATAAATAAATAAATATATACCCTGAAGTTCTTGGATCCACATGCAGTTTGTTGGCATGGTCGTCACTGAGTTGATGAAAGGTGCCCTTAATGTCATCCAAGTGGTGGGATGCGTTGTTAAGAGCTCCCAGGACCTTCTTGCCGTGGGCCTGTACCTTGGCATTTGAGGATGGGTTGGACAGGCTTCCGAAAGAACTGAAATACCTCTGGGTCCAGGGGTAGACCACGAGCAGCCTAGTTAACAAAATAAGAAAACAAAGTTATATGAATACAATAAAACCTTCCTGAGGGAATGATTTGACTTAGTATTGTATAATACATTTGTATCACAAGGGTGTTTAACAAAGACAGTGATATATGTAATAGAAAAAGAATCCACCACACTTTGAAAGATCATTGAATAGCTACACTACTGGTCTTTATTCTGGGAATCCTTAACTTCGATAGGTTTTAGATGGTACAAATTTATAAATGTCCAAACTATTTTTTTTTATTTTTTTTAAATGAACAGGTTATATTACAATCTGCCATTACAGATAAACATAATGCAACCCCAGACATTAATTGTAAACAGCATAAGCATAACTTTAAAAGCCCACGCAGTGTAGGTTCCATTTGCAATCCGTTCAACCCGCACCATATTTATATTTTAGCATAAATATAAATGTTTCTTCTTTAATACCTTCAGTTCAAAGGGTTAGCATATCGTATGATATCATGACAATTCCCAGCATGTCATTTGTCATAAGGTGGTCAAAATACAAATTGTCATGCAATCATTTTTTCTTACCTTCCAAGAGCATCTCCACCATCATGTTCCAGATCAACTTTGCCAAACACAGAGGTGATTGTGGCCCTCTCTCCGGCTGTCCAGTGAACCATGGTGGCTGTTAGATGGTTGAGTAGCTCAAGCTTCAGGTGAGAAGTACAAGCTCTGAAAAACAAGTGTTACCCCCCTGATTTTTATAAGAAAACAAGCCACGTCACGCCTAGTAGAAGTTGCTTTGTCATGGTTTACTTTTGTCCTCCATCCCACACGACTAGGTACTGATAAGATATGGCAAATTCTGGTACGTGCATCAAGTCACATCCAAGTCCCAAAATGCGTCACATCTGAAACTCTCTTTCACGCCCTAGAAAATAATTCCATAAACAAGTTACAAGCTACGTGCCATATCTGATTCATTTAAATTCAAAGATAGCTTAGCACGTTTAGGAGCAATTTTTGAACTTGGAGTTGTTTTTTTCCAGATTATTTCTAGTATTTGATAGTTCCTAGAAAAATATCTGCTTTAATTATTTATTCCAACTCACAAACCTTGCACAAAATTATTATTCACTTCACCAGGGGTCCTCAAACTCCGGCCCCCCAGATGTTGCTGAACTACAACTCCCATGATTCTCTGGCTATCTATGTAATTCAAAGAATCATGGAAGTTGTAGTTCAGCAACATCTGGGGGGGCGGAGTTTGAGGACCCCTGCACTTCACCAACATCAATTCACCTAAGTCATCTATCTACCAGTCATGTCACCCCTCTAATTTGTGCATTACCTTTTGTATCAAACTGTTTTTTTTTATTCTTTCCTTTTCAGAAGCATTTAGCATTTCACTTTCTACATCATGTTTCATACATGCAAGAAGCATGTTCTATATCAAAATTATAATATCATAAAGCAAACATAAAAATATTGTGGAGGTGCAATCACTGTGAATACAGCCCAACATTTTGACAACTGTCTACCTTTGATAAAGCAAAACATTGCCAAAATGTTATTTTTTTATTTTATTTTTTTTTTAAATGGTGATCTGCCTCTTCATAATATTCAGCTTAATGTTTGCATTTGCTTTTTTTTTTGTCGTTCCCTTGTTGGTTAGTAATTTTTTATTTTGTGATTTTGCTTACAATATGTTTGTTAGGTGAATGGAAGAGAATGTGATTTTTATTTAATTTAATTCAGTCTGAGAGTCTCTCTGTTTTTAGCACTATAGTTCCATTGTATTTTTGCCAAAAGTAGAGATTGTGGGATCGGGCGTCACCCAGCAATTATTTATGATTGTGAGTTATTTTTCCTATTGTGCTAAGCTATATACAATTATATTTTTTACCATGATCCTTTTTAGTTCCAAATGCAAATCAGAAATAACTCTAATTAACCTGTATTTAACAAAATATGAGATTTCTATCAATCTACACATGTAGTATACACACTGTGCTAGAAAATCTTAGAAAATATATAGGTAGAAAAGACTACCTCATTAAAGACAATATGACTATCCCATGTAGCTGGAAATATTACTTAATGACAAGAAGGACTTGTAGGGTAAAATTCACATTTTTTTTTTCAGTTAAGGCTAGCGTTACGGTTAAGCTTTAGGGTTGTTTAAGGGTTAATGGTTGGTGTTAGGGTACTGTAGGAGTTAAATTGTAGTGTTAGTGTAGTGGTTATTATTTAGTGTAGTGTAGGGGTTAATGTTTAGTGTCGTATAGAATGTATGAGTTGATGGGAGGACTTTACTATAAGAATGGCACTGGAGATTCTGCTGTACTATCTTCTATTACATGTTAGTAAAAAGAAACCACTTAAAGGCTGATAAGGTATGCCAGTGAATTCAAAGAGGCAAAAGTAGCTGAACTGGAAGCATATTTGCCTTAGAGAATTTTTCCCAATCAGCAAGTTTGGCCTTGAATTTGAAATTCAATTTGAATTCAATTGGAATTTTCACTATAGTGAATAACCCTGATAGTTGCTGGGACTCTAAATTTATTTTTCTAATTTTCTCTAATTGTGACATTCTACCTGAAGAATGTGTTCTTTGTTTCATTTTGGAAGTCTGAGTGTGCATAACCCAACAGAAAGTGCAAACGTTGATCATCGTTGGGATATGTGTATTGCGACATTTAGGTGATCTGCCCCAACACTTACAACTTTTGGTTTCCTGACAATGTTTGATTTTTTTTTTTTATACTATAATTTTTCTTATTTTATGGTTCTATTATAAATGTCTTCAGGGAACAATTGGCTACCATTTTTTTATGTCTATTGTTTTTTTGTTTTTTTAAAGAACCATATAATCTCTTACCAACTGGAAAATCCATTACAAAGGATTCAGTATAAACCTTACTTTGCTTTGATAATTTCTGCATAAACTATAACTGTTCTGATAGTAATTTATGTCTGTTGTAGTTATCAACAATACAATTTATACTTTATATGAGGGCAATCTAATTTCAACTGGCTATATGATTTATTAATTTTATGGTTTCATTAAAAAAAACGATGTCATTGTAATTTATTTTACAATTGATGGTACAAGTGTGCACCCACACTTATTATATATCATTTTATTCAGGGAAAACAGGGCTTTCATTTAACATCAAACATATAGGTATGAAACATAATTTAATATGAATAAAATATACAAAAAAATGGGGAAAAATAAGAATTAAAAAAAAACTTTTGGTTCTATGTGACATTTTAATTGTGAATGTCATAATACTGTTTGCTTTTACTGCAATAAAATACACATATTTGTATTCAGCGATGTCTCACGTGTTAAACAGTACCCCCTATGTACAGGTTGTATGGTGTTTTGGGAAGTTACAGAGTCAAATATAGCTTATATATAACATTTTTCAGATTTTTCACATTGAAATTCGCCAGATTGGTTACGTTGCCTTTGAGACCGTATGGTAGCCCAGGAATAAGATTTACCCCCATGATGGCATACCATTTGCAAAAGTAGACAACCCAAGGTACTGCAAATGGGGTATGTCCAGTCTTTTTTAGTAACCACTTGGTCACAAACACTGGCCAAAGTTAGTGTTAATATTTGAAAATGCAAAAACCTAATTTGAATGCTAATTTTGGCCAGTGTTTGTGACTAAGTGGCTACTAAAAAAACTGAACATACCCCATTTGCAATACCTTGGGTTGTCTACTATTGCAAATGGTATGCCATCATGGGGGTAATTTTCATTCCTGGGCTACCCTACGGTCTCAAAGGCAACATAACCAACCTGGCGAATTTCAATGTGAAAAAACTGAAACGCAAGCCTTATATTTGACTCTGTAACTTTTGATAAAACCTGTACATGAGGGGTACTGTTATACTCGGGAGACTTCGCTGAACACAAATATTAGTGTTTCAAAACAGTAAAACGTATTACAACAATTATATCATCTGTGTAAGTGCAATTTGTGTGTGAAAAATGCAAAAAATGTCACTTTCACTGACGATATTGTCGTTGTAATACATTTTACTGTTTTGAAACACTAATATTTGTGTTCAGCGAAGTCTTCCGAGTAAAAAAGTACCCCCCCATGTACAGGTTTTATGGTGTCTTGGTAAGTTACAAGGTTAAATATAGTGCTAGCAAATTAAATTCCCTGAACTTTTAGCCTGGGTTGTCAGGCAGATCCTGCAAATTGTAATGAATAATTATATAAAAGTATTACATAAATCTAAACGTAGAATTATTATATATATACATGTGTATATATATATATGTGTATATATATATGCATATCATTTTTTTAAATTATTTTTATTTATATATAGGTATATATATAGTGATATATATGGAAATACTTATGTATATAATTCAATTCGCACTGGGTCCCGCACTCCTGCTCCCAGTCTTGTTTATTGCCTAGGTGCCACTCCGACCTCAAAATATAAAATACCTTGTTGGAAGTGCACTCACATACTTATGTATATAGATATATATATTATTTCGTCCTACATTTATTTTGATATCAATATATATATATATATATATATATTAATTTTAAAATACAGTTAGAACGAAATTATACATGCATATATATTTTTTTAATTTTATTTATTTATTTATTTATTTTTCATATTTCTTTTTTTATTAGTTTTGGTAGTACTCCAGTGCATAGTACCGTGACATAATAATAAAATAATAATAGTAATAATACAATAATAGTAATAATACAATAATAATACAATTGCTGACGCAGCAGCTCATCGATCAGATATGGCCTCACCGGCTTATTACGCACATGTACACATAACATGATAACACGTACAGTATCGTTAACAGTAATAGCAACATATGAGCATCACCAGATCACCCAAGTAAAGATATTAAGTTAAAAATAGAGAAAATTAAATCAGAAATACAGGAAAAAACTTATGAAAAAATAAAAAAAAATATGCTCAAACTTAAAATTAAATATTATCACAAATCTAATAGAGCGGATAAAATAATGACCAATTTGCTGAAAAAAAAAAATATGACCAATAAGGTTGATAAAATAATAACTAATGATAATATCTCCCTTTTACCAGAACAGATAGGGAATGCATTTAATGAGTACTATGCTAATCTATATAGTCTTCCAGCAACTACTCCATCAGAAATAATAAAAAAATATATCAAGTCAGCCAAATTGAATAAAATAACAGAATCACAGATAAATAATCTAAATAAAGAGATTAGGGAAGAAGAGATCAAGATAACAATTGATAGATTAGAAACCTATAAAACTCCAGGTCCAGATGGATTCGGAAATAGATTCTATAAAATTATGCAACCTCACTTGATACAACATTTAAAAAATACTTTTAATTCCGCAGTTAAAAAGGGCAGATTTCCTGAGGAAATGCTTAAAGCAAATATTTTACCTATACTGAAACCTGGGAAAGATCCTACTAGAGTACAGAGTTATCGCCCAATATCATTAATAAATGTGGATATCAAGATATTTTCTTCTATTATAGCTGGTAGAATAAAAGAAGTCATTAAGCAATTAATCCACCCTGATCAAATAGGTTTTGTACCAGACAGGATGTCAAGTAACAATATGAGACGTGTGATAAATGCATTAGATTTCTCACAAAAGGAAAAAAGTCCCATGCTGATCCTGTCTTTAGATGCTGAAAAAGCCTTTGACAGGGTCAGCTGGGATTTTATGAAGTTTACTTTAGAGGAATTAGGTATACAAGGTTGGTTGCTCGATGCTATTTTTGCTTTATATAAAGATCTAAAGGCGAGAACTATTGGCCCTGGTATATGTTCAGATTGGTTCAAACTGAATAACGGGACCAGACAAGGCTGTCCTTTATCCCCTTTATTGTTTATATTAACACTAGAGGTTTTAGCTAACAGAATCAGAAATAATGAAAACATTAAGGGTGTTACAGCAAAACAGAAAGAAATGAAAATATCCCTTTATGCCGATGATACTATTCTTTTTTTGAAATCATCAAGATCAATAACAAATGCAATGTCAGAAATTGATATATATAGTGCAGTATCAAATTATAAATTAAATAAAACAAAATCAACTGCCATATATATATGAATATGACAAAGCAAGAAATAGATTCTTATCAAGAAACATATGGTTTTATTAAAGCTAAAATGTTTTTGTATTTGGGAATCAAAATTTGCAGAAAGGTAGAAAGTATTATGAGAATAAATTTTATGGATCTCCTTAAAGAGACTAACAAGAATTTGAAAGAATGGAGAAAATTAGAAGTATCTTGGGGAAGAAGAATAAACATTTTGAAATCATATGTTCTACCAAAATGGATTTACTTGTTCAGAATGCTTCCGTTAGAAATTCCGAATGCATGGCTGACAATGATTAATAAGGCTTTTTCGGATTTTGTATGGCGAGGAAAAAAACCCAGAGTTAAAAATGGAGTTTTAGCAAGAGGAATAAAGAAGGGAGGTCTAGGATTTCCAAATATAAGAAAATATTATGAAGCAGGAATTATTACGCATGTTATGGCTAGTCAAGTGATACAAAACAAAGAGGAAGTATGGTGGTGGTTGGAACTAGATTATAGCCAACTAAGAAGTAAATTAGAAGTAGTCTGGAGTACAAAAAAACTTAATCTGTCCAGATCGTATATTTTAGGACAGATTATTCCTATTTGGCAAAAAATAAGGAAAAAAATAGGTTTGGTAAATAAGATATTTGGCTTTCAAAATTTAGAAATAATAGAATTAAATATGGAGAGTATATCCTTAAAATTATGGAAAGAAAAAGGAATAAATACTTTGGAGGATCTATTTGAAGGAAATAAAATTAAATCTTATAAAAAGTTAGTTGAGGAATTTAAGTTCTCTGACAAAGATATTTTTACTTATTATAGAGTAAAACATTACTTGGAGAAAGTTGAGTTAGTAAAAGAAGGTAAGATGTATGATATTTTAAAAACAATCTTACATCAGAATAAGACAAAACAATTGTTTTCCAGATGTGTTAGATTGTTGGATTTAATGGATGATTCTGTTCTGCCCACTGCCATTAAAAAATGGAACACTGAATTAAAAATAAATATTGAATTATTTGAATGGCTATGTATGGCACAAAAAATTTACAAATATGTCCACTCCTTTGTATTTATAGAAACACATTTTAAGCTGGTTAATCAATGGTATATGACGCCAACAAAAATAGCTAAATTTGATGTATCAAGGGACATTAAATGTTGGAAATGCAGGGAGGAAAAGGGAAATTATATTCATATGTGGTGGTCATGTAAACAAGTGATTGTTATATGGCAGTGGGCTCAAATTATCATTCATACACTGTGTGATGTCAAAATGCCTTTAAAACCTGAAGTAATGTTATTACATTATAAATGGCCAAAATTGAATAAAATAAATCAATTTTTAATTATTCATTGTCTATTGGCATGTAAAATAATAATAGCAAGAAATTGGAAGGGAGTTATCCCCTTTAACATAAAATTAATAACAATTCAGTTGGTTTACCAACTAAAAATGGAGAAAGATCATTGCAAACTTTTGAAGGATGATTTGAGCCTATGGGAAAAATGGGAGAAAAAATTATTACAACTGTAAAAGGAATGTCATTTGAAAAAGTTGGAAAAAGTTTGAAGTCTGTAGAACTCTCGTGGGGTGGTGGATAGTTTTTTTTGTGATTTTTTTTTTTTATTATTTTTTTTTATATCTGTTTTTATGTGGATGAATGTATTTTAATTACTCTTTTGTAAAATGTATTTATGGTGGAAAATCTGCTAATAAAAAGACAATAAAAAAAAAAAAAAATGAGCATCACCAGATCTGCTTTTCATCGATGTTATGTTATATCTTCGTTTGTGTGACAGCTCGTTTGAGGTGTTTTGTTTTTGACTTGGAGCTATAGACACTTGTGCTGTCTGTTGTTGGTGACCGCACTAGCTTAATTCTCTATCACGTCATGCAACCGGGTACAAAGGAAAAAAAAAAGGTTAAGGGAAGGGTAACATTCAACAGTAACTCTATTTGTGTAACCGTGTAACCTGGAATTTCCCTGTTGTGTATTTGTTTGGTTCTGCTATCGGACCCTGCGGTATGTGTGAGTAGTGGCAAGGTTTGTGGCATGTAGCATGTAGCATGACCCCCCTACTTATTCCTCTGGGGCGCGTGTCGACGTGTCATAGTGCCTTGTTCGTCTGTACCGTCCAATGCTCGGGCGTTGAGCCACCCGCACAATTGGTTACCATGTTTTTCCGGTGTTCCTTGTAAATTGTGTGCCATTCTCTCGTACAAGCATACATTATCCACCCGTTTTGTTACCTCCTCTAGTGTTGGTGGCGTCACGACCTTCCACTGTGAGGCTATCGCAATTTTGGCTATAGTTAATATGTTTAATGCAGTCGTGGTCGCTGGATGTCTCACTGAATTGCTCGTGGGGAGCATATGCAGCAAGTGCCTAGAGAGATATCAGCTCTGCTCACGGTGCCTAGAGAGATATCAGCTATGCCTCACTGACGATGCCTAACAAGGCTGAAACGATCGTCTGGGGTTGCTGTATCTCTCGTGCAGAGAGAACTTGCTGGCATTTTGGATCTGGACTGCCGTATGGGTGGGACCAGTCTGATATGCTTCAGATATGTTCTCTCTGTAATGGCACAAGATGAGCTAAAACCAGCTTGAGTTCTGAGCGGGGACCCACCGAAGGGCAGGCTATTTTAGCTGCTGTCCGTCCTCAGAATACTCTTGCGACCCATTTTTTGCTCTCCATTAGTTTAAAGGGTAATCCAGACGTGGACCCCTTGCTCACGGTGCCTAGAGAGATATCAGCTATGCCTCACTGACGATGCCTAACAAGGCTGAAACGATCGTCTGGGGTTGCTGTATCTCTCGTGCAGAGAGAACTTGCTGGCATTTCGGATCTGGACTGCCCGTATGGGTGGGACCAGTCTGATATGCTTCAGATATGTTCTCTCTGTAATGGCACAAGATGAGCTAAAACCAGCTTGAGTTCTGAGCGGGGACCCACCGTAGGGCAGGCTATTTTAGCTGCTGTCCGTCCTCAGAATACTCTTGCGACCCATTTTTTGCTCTCCATTAGTTTAAAGGGTAATCCAGACGTGGACCCCTTGCTCACGGTGCCTAGAGAGATATCAGCTATGCCTCACTGACGATGCCTAACAAGGCTGAAACGATCGTCTGGGGTTGCTGTATCTCTCGTGCAGAGAGAACTTGCTGGCATTTCGGATCTGGACTGCCCGTATGGGTGGGACCAGTCTGATATGCTTCAGATATGTTCTCTCTGTAATGGCACAAGATGAGCTAAAACCAGCTTGAGTTCTGAGCGGGGACCCACCGAAGGGCAGGCTATTTTAGCTGCTGTCCGTCTCAGAATACTCTTGCGACCCATTTTTTGCTCTCCATTAGTTTAAAGGGTAATCCAGACGTGGACCCCTTGCTCACGGTGCCTAGAGAGATATCAACATATGCTTCAGATATGTTCTCTCTGTAATGGCACAAGATGAGCTAAAACCAGTTTGAGTTCTGAGCGGGGACCCACCGTAGGGCAGGCTATTTTAGCTGCTGTCCGTCCTCAGAATACTCTTGCGACCCATTTTTTGCTCTCCATTAGTTTAAAGGGTAATCCAGACGTGGACCCCTTGCTCACGGTGCCTAGAGAGATATCAGCTATGCCTCACTGACGATGCCTAACAAGGCTGAAACGATCGCCTGGGGTTGCTGTATCTCTCGTGCAGAGAGAACTTGCTGGCATTTCGGGTCTGGACTGCCCGTATGGGTGGGACCAGTCTGATATGCTTCAGATATGTTCTCTCTGTAATGGCACAAGTTGAGCTAAAACCAGCTTGAGTTCTGAGCGGGGACCCACCGAAGGGCAGGCTATTTTAGCTGCTGTCCGTCCTCAGAATACTCTTGTGACCCATTTTTTGCTCTCCATTAGTTTAAAGGGTAATCCAGACGTGGACCCCTTGCTCACGGTGCCTAGAGAGATATCAGCTATGCCTCACTGACGATGCCTAACAAGGCTGAAACCATCGTCTGGGGTTGCTGTATCTCTCGTGCAGAGAGAACTTGCTGGCATTTCGGATCTGGACTGCCCGTATGGGTGGGACCAGTCTGATATGCTTCAGATATGTTCTCTCTGTAATGGCACAAGATGAGCTAAAACCAGCTTGAGTTCTGAGCGGGGACCCACCATAGGGCAGGCTATTTTAGCTGCTGTCCGTCCTCAGAATACTCTTGCGACCCATTTTTTGCTCTGCAGCAAGTAATGTACAAGGTCTAGTGGTATAGCTAAGCTAGTAGTTTCGCGTATGAGTGTTTGGACTGAGGTCCAGAACGAAGTTATGATCGGACAGTCCCAAAATATGTGAAGCAACGACCCTGCTGTGCGATTGCATCTCCAGCACAACGGGGAGGAGTTGGGATTCATTCTTGCTAGTCGTAAGGGGACCAGATACAAACGCATTGCTATCTTGCAATATGCTTCCCATAGGGACAAGCTTTTAGATGCCCGTTTTGTTAAGTAAAAGGCTTCATGCCATTGTTGTAATGTGAGTGGTTTCCCTATATCTCCTTCCCACTTTTCCATGTAAGGAAGTTTGTGTTCGGATTTCTCTCGTTCCAGTGCATTATAGCAAAGGGCTAGAGGTTTGGCAGAGCGGGATGTCAGAATGTACCGGGCAGAAGGAGTGTCAGGCCGTTTTACGGGTGTTGTCGGCTTAGTGCGAGTTTGTAGTATGTGCTTGACCCTTAAAAATTTGAATATTTCTCTGGGGCTCAGGGAGAACTCGCTTTGCAGGGTAGGGAATACTTTCAGCATGTTTTGGTTATATAGGTCCTGAATTTTACGGATCCCTAGGGTCGTCCATGTTTGTAGTGGGAGGTCGGGTGAGCTGGCCTGCAGTGCTGTGAGTGGTGCTTCTTTGAATAGTGTTTGCGTGTCTATGACCACTGAGGCCCATTGTCTCCAAGTGTTCATAGTGGTTTTTGTGCACCATAGTGCGGTACTCCCTATGGATGTTGGTTCGGGTGTCCAGAGGGCATTAGTCAGAGTGGCTGGGTGTATGCAGGCATCCTCGAGAGCTAGCCATAGAGGGGTTTGTTCTGCGTCTGGGGTTCTGAGTAATCGTAGTCCTTGTGCTCGGTAGTAATTACGGATGTCCGGAACACCTAAGCCACCTTTCGCAAATGGTAGGCTAAGTTTGGCGGTGGCCATTCTGGGAGGCTTCCTTTTTCATATGTGGGCGTTAATGATAGTGATGGTGCAAGTTAATGACAGTGCTGGTTAATGATAGTCTGGAATCTTTTTAGTAATTTGGTCGGCAATGGTATGAGGAGTGTGCGGAAGAGATAAAGCATGTGGGGGAGAATCATCATTTTAATGGAGTTAATGCGCCCCAACCACGATACTTCCAACCTTTCCCATTGGCTCATTTGGGCTGTGAGTTTGTGAAGCATAGGTGTATGGTTTTCGGTAGTTAGTGAGTTTATTGATTTTGTTAGTTTGATGCCTAAGTATTGGATCGATTTAGATCGCCATTCGAATGTATGTGTTTCTTCTAATTTTTTAATCGTGGCCTTTGGTAGTCGGATGGGGAGAGCCTGGGTTTTGGCTGTATTATTTTTGTAGTACGACGCTGAGCCATACTTGTTCAGCATTTGTAGAAGGACTGGGATAGATTGTATCGGGTCTGTCAGAAATACTAGTATGTCGTCCGCAAATAGGGCTAGTTTTTGTTCACCGACAGGGGTGTCAAGTCCCGGGATTAGAGGGTCACGTTTAATGTGATAGATGAGAGGCTCTAGGCACAGAATGAAGATGAGTGGGGAGCCTCAGCCGGGCAGCAGGTCAATCCGGGGGGCGAGGTCTACGGAGGGCAGCCGTGGCAGAGACCCTTTAAACATGGTTTCAAACGTAAGACGTTATTCGGTTGTTAGAACCTTTGTATGCTATACCGGTGTATGTGTGTTTTTTTTTTTGTAATTGGTTGTGTGTTGTCATTAGATATGTGTCACCGTGCTCAGGCCTGCATGTGTCACCCCCAGAAGAGGGGCTTATTCAAAGACATCTGGTACATGTCGTATTCGTGCTGTGGAGATTGTTGTGGTGTGCATGTATAGAACGTGCTTATTCGAAAACATTTGATGTATGTGATGTATGTCGTGTTTGTGCGGTGAAGTGTGGCATGGTATACATACAGATTGGCATCCGTCAGTGGAGGGGTGTCACATACAGTCCCGGTCGTGCGGGTGTTGCAAACATTTAGTCCTTTTGGGTATCACGCTGCTGTTTTCTGGGCGAGCCCTCCATGTGCCATTCTGTCGGCAATTTGGAACTTTGTGCAGGAGAGTCTTGAGATCTGAACAGTCCCCACTCCCGTAGAAGTTTCAGGCCTACAGCTGGTTCCTCGATGTTGTGGTGTTTGTTGTCTTTCCATATCAAGAGTTTGGTCGGGTATCCCCATCGATATTGTATGTTGTGATTGCGCAGCGTTTTCGTGACAGAGATGAATTCCCGTCTTCTTTCCATAGTGAGCGCCGATAAATCAGCAAATACTTGGATGTCTTGGTACGGCTCTGGTAAACGTTGTATTTTGCGTCCCGCGGTCATCAGCGCTTCTTTGGATTTGAAATAGTGAAATCTGACCACCGTGTCCCTTGGTGTGTCTGTTGTGAAGCGCGGGGGTCTCGGAATATGGTGAGCCCTATCCATGAGCCACCCTTCTTTCTCTATGGCCGGCACTAAGGTGGTGCTTAGGCTTAGTATGTAATCAGGGAGAGCGTCATGGGTGACGTCTGGGATTCCCCGGAATCTTACATTATTTCGCCTTGAGCGATTTTCTATGTCTGCAGTTTTCCTCTTTAGAAGTATGTGCTCTTCTTGGAGCGTGCGCAGCTGCTCTGCAAAGTCGTTTTGTGAGGCACAGGTTTCTTCCGTCCGCACTTCCAGGCAGTCTGTGTGATCACCTATTTCGTTCAGTTCCCGTTTAAATTCTGCAGTCATTTTTTTCATGTCCGCATTTAAAGTTGTTCTCAGATCTTGCAGCATGGTGAATAGCCTTTTTTCACTAACAGGTGCCTCTGTGTAGGAATATGAGGCTGTGTCAGTTTCAGTTAGCTGGTCTGGTGCAGGAGGAAGGCCCATGCTGTCGTCGCCATCTTGTGGAGATTTGCCCTTGTCTTTTCTGGCGGATTTTATTTGATCCGTCATTTTCAATTGTTTGGAGGGGGCCATGGTGTCGGTACCTGTCAGCAGGTAGTAATTTGCCGGGATTCAGATTGTCCTATCTGCTTTATAATCGCGGTGGGGTCTGTTGCTGCCGGGAGCTCTCACTCCATGTGACCGTGCTCGCCGGCTGTCAGACACGCCCCCTTAATTTTATTTTTTAACGTATTTACATATTTGTTTATTTTATATTATATATAAATATATACAACGATAATTATATATATATTTAGTCAATATCATTGTACATGTACTTTGATATGAATATATATATATATATATAATTATATATATTAATATTAAAATACACTTAGACAGTGTATGTGTATTTATGTGTATGTGTGTGTATATATATATATATATATATATGATCTAAGTATATATTATTTAATTTTACACTGTTTTAACATGTTTTTTGTTTTGTTTTGTTTTTTCAGACAGCAGGGGGAGTACCTGTCATTACAGGCACTCCCTCTGCCGGCATTGCCTTGGACGGCTATGCCATCCATGTGATCGCGAGGTCCTCGCAAGGACCTCACGATCACATGGCCCAGAGGGGCCGAAGAGGAAGGAGGGGGACTCCCTGGTCTCCCAGGTAAGTCCCCATACCGCGATCGCCGGCGTGGGATCGCCGGTGACCGGGTAAGTACATAAGGTCGCGGGGACGTCCTATGCCGCCCTGCGGCGTTTAGAGCTGCTTCCTTAATGGTGGCATAGAACGTCCCGCGGTCTTAAGGAGTTAAAAAGAATAATCTTTTTGATAAACAAAAGTACTTTTTCCACCTGATAAAAGATGTTTTGAGAATTGTTCCCCACTAGGTAGTACAATATCAGTTTCATTTTTTCACAGTAATAAAGAGAGGCAACATAAGCACAAGTAGGAATAATAATAATAATAATATTAATAATTAGCAAGCTGTAAGCATTGCTTATTATTATGATATGTTACCAAAGACCTAAGCCCTCTAACTGTTGATGCTCAAGTATGAATCAAGTATGGATCCAAACTACTACAAATTGCAAAAAGGTGAATGAATATTCTCTGTGCTTTACTCCCTGAAGCCAGGTCCTCCCTCTCAATCTCTCCAAACATGGTACGGCAGGGGTGCCCAAAAGGTAGATCCGCAGATGTTTTAAAACTACAGCTTCCATGATGCTTTGTCATTCTAAAGGCATGCAAAGCATCATGGGAGTTGTTGTTCTAGGACATCTGGGGATCTACATTTTGAGTACCCCTGCCATACGGCTGTTTAGTAAACTGAGCACTGTTGGAAATTCAGAGTGCATTCAAAGTGAATTCATTTCACATTTTAGACCAAAATAGTTTAACTGGAAGCACCGCTTACTTGGAGAATTTGTAAATTTGAAATTCAGTTTAAATTCTAGACAATTCTCCCTCTTGCAAACCATTGTTAATTGGTTAGCGCTTATCTTACCTTTTCGTTCTCTCCAACCCCGTATGACCCTGTTTCTTTCATTACTAGGGAACAACCAGAACAGCAACTAAGACTGGAAGCCATTTCAGCCTTTATTGAAAATGGAAATAATTTCCTCAGACTGTTAGAATTTGCATCTCCTATTACTTTGAAACCGTGAAGAAATGCAGATGTTCAAGGGATATATTGTATTTTAGATCCATTTCAAATCACAATGCAATACACTTAAACACCTCTGTAGATAAACTCCCGGCAGCTCTTCAGACGTGTGAAAAGCAAGTAGTTTAATTTAACCATAAATATAATGAACAAACTTGTGTAGCGACAGATATCACCACGATATAGTAAAACAGACAAAAAAAACGTATGACTGGAACAAAAATAAATAAAATCGTAATAAAATAAAATTGAAAACATATATTTACAAACGGAATCCTATTTGTGCAAAATTGTAAATGAAACAATATATGTACATTTTTTGGCTACTTGTACATAAAATTAAAAATGTACTTTGAATTCACCTTGAAGTCTCACTTTCGTGAATAACCCTGTAAGATAGGAGAGGGCCTGAGTAAAGGACTCTCGTATCAGCATGAAAGACAAAGAGATAAGCAGACAGGCCAACAGTACACATGACCTTCAGTGCTGACCAGCAAGTAAGGAAGCACATCAGACATTCTACATCATTATTTCCTATATTCTCTTTTAGTTGTAGATGCCACCATTAATCCAGTCCCTCTCCCGTTACTAATATGCTGTCAGAGGGGTACAGGAATCAGAGTATGCACTTCTCACGCCCTAGTAGCGCCTTTCTTGGAAAATCACTAAAGAGAGCGCGGCTGAAGTGGGGGTAGCAGTTGCAAATTGCAGCTCCTGCATGTGAGTGTAACTCCCAGAAGTCTCAGGGGTATGTTTTTCCAGTGATTCTCTAATTTTAAATGAACTGTATTCCAAGCCTGCACTACAGCCACCCCCTCATATTTAACATTTATATCAATCCATTCACTGTTGAGACTTTTTTTAACTTTGTCTGAGAAATCTTTTCAAAACAGCCAATATTATGCATTGTTGCACAGCCGAAACTTTGCTAAAAGAAACTGCTATCCAGGGCAAGATTATTTTGCACACTAGACAAGCCCAGCTACTTGCACCTCCTCCACACCACTATCTCCCCCCAAAAAAAAAAAAAAAACTTTATGTGTCTCTCTCTTTTCCTAGCTCCTTTGTCCTTTCTCCCCAAACTCCTTTGTGTGTCTCTTTCTCCCTCCAGACCCTCTGTGTGTCTTTTCCTACCAGTCTCTCTCTTTGTGTGTCTTTTTTTCCCCAGCTCTTTTTTTGTCTCTCTTCTCTCCCCAGCCCCTCTGTGTGTCCCTTTGTCTCCCCAGTCTCTCGGTGTGTCTCTTAGTCTCTCCCTAGCACTCTATGTCTCTCTATGTACCCCCAAGCATTCTCTGTGTCTATTTTTTCTCACAGCCCCTCTGTGTGTCTGTCACGGTTATCACCGTGACATCCAGATAGCCAGACGAGGTCGTCCTAGAAGTGCCCAATTATTTGCACATAAAATAAATACCCAATAGCCACCTAAATCTAACAATCAATAGTCCTTTTACCTATGGTAGCGAACCCAATCTTGTTCGCACATGCACGTCACATACACTACTGTCGCGGATGCCATTTTTCTAGCTGGAATTGCCCTTAAAATAAGGCTTTCGCGTGACGCTCACGCATATGCGAGCACCTTCCTTCTTGCGCATCCTATGCCCTGTTACTGCGGGCGCCATTTTACCTGCTGGAACTGCCCTCAAGATGCAGCTCTCGCATAATGCGCACACATAGGGCATCTCCTATCTCAGATGACGATCCTCTGATCCCTATTTTTTTTTATCTCTATCGATGATCCCTTGGTCAGTGTTCTCATTACATAATTTCCTTCCTATCATTTTTCTAAATGTTGCCCGTTTATGCTTGTCCCACCCTTTACATGAACCCTCTGTGGTCTACTTTTTCCTTTTTTCCCGAATGTTTTTACATTATTTTTTGTAGCCACTTTCTCTTTGACCTCACTTTTATATCACTATGCATAGGATGAGGCAGAGGCATCAGTGATGCCCACCGATTATCAAAGATTAAGAACACAGTAATGAACAGTTAAATCCGAGCTGCAGGGTCTCCTTACTGTATTTCCAACAGTGTAACAAGCAGATAGACAAAAAATTGAGTTCTGCGCATCAAGTAGGTAGTGCACACCCAGGTGCTAGTGCAATTTATTAGAGGACACAATATAAACAAACGTTTCGGGCAACAAGCCCTTCCTCAGTGCTAATGTCCTACACAATACAAGCAGTACAGACAAAATATACAAGTGAAAGAAATGCTTACATTCAAAAGAGTGGGGGTAGGGGCTCTAGAGGGAAATAGAAGTGCTGTAGAGGGGCACATGGGGCAGTAGAGGGGACAGGGGCAGTATGGTGGGAGCAGGGGCAGTATAGTGGGGGCAGGGGCAGTAGAGAGGGGCTGCAAAAAAACAAACAAAAAAAGTTTTGATTTAAAAAAATAAACACTAAAAGTTCTTCCCCCACCCCCTTACCCTCCCAGAGGCTTACCTTGGGCCAGGGAGGGGAGAATCTTACTCTTAGTGGTCGGCTGGGACGGGCTACACTGGAGGCTGGAGCTGCAGTCAGGAACGCATCAGAAGAGGACGGCTGACTTCACTGCCCTGCTCCTGCTGTGTGCTGGCTGAAGGGAGAGAGGTGAGTTTAAAAATCTGAGTCTCCAGCCAGAGGCAGGGGATTCAGATTTTTGCGCCCCCCTGCACTGGCGCCGGCCCTAAATCTAGTATAACATTACTGGTATAGCTACTCAAAACCTTTCCCAACATCTTGTCCATCACAGTATAATGCTTAGTTTCTTTCTAGTTTGTCCACGGAATTTGACTTTGAAAGTACTCCCAACAAACAAAGTCTTACCTTTTCAAAGTGACTTAAAGGGTTATTCACTAAAATGAGAATTCAGAGAAAATTCAAAGTCAGTTTCAAATTTTATGTGGCATTGCAATCATACTTGACGGAGCGTCCGAAGGTCGTGTATGCTGCAGTACATTTGCTGTCGGTCACATGTGCAGTTAATACAAATAAAAATGTCTGGGTACACTGGTTGGTTTCTTAAAGAGACAGTCTTTTATTTAAGAGTGAACGAAATGGACAGGTGCCGAAATGTTGTCTATTTTCTGCACTCCTAAATAAAAGAATGCATTCTTAAAAAAAACAATGGTTGTGCTCAGACATTTGTATTTGAACTACTGGATGTATTTGGGAGTTTGGCCCTCCCAGTTTGGAGGCACCTTGCTGGTGTTCCCCAAATTAAAGGGTAATGCACCTACATGTGTACAGGGTGGCCCATAAGTCCATACCCATCCATATATCTTATGTATCCAGTGTATCTATGTGCTGGATGAGTAGGGACTTATGGGTCACCCTGTAGTTAAAAGACCACTATAGTGCCAGGAAGTTTTCCTGGCACTATAGGGTCTTTAGGTCCCCACCCTCAGGGTCCCACTCTCACCGGGCTGAAGGGGTTAAACACTTACCTTTCTCCAGCGCCGGGCTCCCTCGGTGCCTGGAAACTCTCCTCCCTCTTCTGACATCAGTGCCGAATGCGCATGCACGGCAAGAGCCGTGCGTGCATTCAATCAGGCCATAGGAAAGCATTTCTCAATGCTTTCCTATGAACGTAAGCATCTTCTCACTGTGATTTTCACAGAGAGAAGCGCAGAAGTGCCTCTAGCGGCTGTCAATGAGACAGCCACTACAGGCTAGATTAACTCTAGTGTAAACATAGCAGTTTCTCTGAAACCACCATGTTTACAGATGCAGGGTTAACCCTAAATAGACCTGGCACCCAGACCACTTCATTGAGCTGAAGTGGTCTGGGTGCCTATAGTGGTCCTTTTATATGACAATGCAAATATACAACCAGCTAAAAAGGAGGAAACAGGAGCATGAATAGGATGGGGATCTCTACTGATTTCGGATAACGGTAATATTCCGAAAAAAGGGGGAGGAGGGATAATAATAAAGTGCAACCTCCAAAAAATAATAAAGTTAAAACTTAACTTTTAATAGTAGTAAATATAAATGAAGTGAGAAAAACCTACACCAAATATAAAATCAATATATATGAGTGGGTGAGTGTGTGGAAAAAGCCAGAGTGGTGAAACACGCGTCAGGGGAACAGACTGGCGCTATCCACATGTCACTGCACCAACAGTGACTTGTACCACACTTTTGTATTTACAGCAATCTGACCGTATAAATCTCCTGCTTAAGAGACCTCAGATTTGCTGCCCACTGAGACTTTACCTCTCAATTAATATGTCCATTTACTGTGACTGAATCCTATACCTTATTTGAAACAATCGCACTTTACCACAGTTTTTGGTCTGAGTTAGGTACAATTTCTACCGTAATTGATACTGTTAAACTGTATCACAGTGAGCTTTTGCATGTTTACACCTAATCAGACCTTGAGTCTCAGACGGCTTTGGTGGGGATTTTTCCACACACTCATATATATTGATTTTATATTTGGTGTAGGTTTTTCTCACTTCATTTATATTTACTACTATTAAAAGTTAAGTTTTAACTTTATTATTTTTTGGAGGTTGCACTTTATTATTATCCCCCCCCCTTTTCTGAATATTACCGTTATCCGAAATCAGTAGGGAACACCCAATTTTTAGGATACTTCATCGTAATCCTATTCATTCTCCTGTTCCCCCCCTTTCTTGGTTAAATTCCTTTCACCAGGGGTTAACCCCCATTCAGGAGATTAGATATACTGTACATTTCTTTCCTTCCTGTTTTGTATACAACCAGCTACCTTCATTAAACCCAACAAAAACTTCAGCTCCAGGCACAAGGTGCACTAAGTCCAGGATCTACCTTCGCATATGGATTCTTTGTTTCCACATTATGAATTGACAAAACAAACAAGAAATACACTACAGCTAATTGAAGTGGTCTGGATGCAATGTCCCTATTGCCCTTAGTGCTGCAATGTTAAACATTGCAGTTACAGAGAAACTGCATTGTTTACATTGCAGCACTAAGTCTGCCTCCAGTGGCTGTCTACCAGACAGCCACTAGAGAGCTTCCTGAATTGAAATGGACCTTTGGTCCGGTATCTGCATCTGTTCTGCATGAGGACCTACAGCGTCAGATTTTTTCCCCATAGAAAAGTATTGAATCAGTGCTTTCTCATGGGGAGGTCTAATGCATATTAGAGCCCACTTGTCGCAGAACGTCAGAGGAGGAGGAGCTGTTACCCAGCGCAGAGGGACGGGATCGGGTAAATAAATACCCGGGTGGGGGGCGCAAGGGCGTGGGAGGCAGAGGGAGCTATAGTGCCAGCTTTGTATTCCTGGCACTATAGTATCCCTTTAAGGGTACGTCTGAAGAGCCAAAAGTCCAGTTATGTTTGGATACCTAAAATGAAGGGATAGGGAAGTGTGCCATAATTCCTACAAGGTTTACAGTTTATGAATTAAAGTTTGGAACCAGTAACAAAACATGACTAACCAACAAATGCATATGGTTTGCAAAATGTATGATATAAATAAATATATTACAATAAATAGAAATTATTTATGTGAGTGTTTCAGTAAATTTTCAGCAGATAGCAAGCAGACACTTCCCTCCCAAAAAGTTGATTCATTCATACATGTTTGTAGAAACTGTTCAAGAGAAACTTTCTCTTGCGGAGACCTGACCACCTGTTTTCTTAATGTATTATCAAAAAATATGTAAAAGAAACACATTTTGTTTATGTTTTATAATGATACTGAAACATGTACAAGAAGAATAGGAATAGTGAACCTGCTCTGCCAACTGATAGCAGCGGCTCACAGTTTACAAACCACCCGATTCACAGTTTAGTTGGCAAAGTTGTCGAGGAGAGAGAGCTCAGCCCAAGTTCTGCGTGTAGCATGCACAAGGACGGTAATGACAAAATTAACACAGAGATTATAACCGTAGAGATTTTTATCATTACAATTTTTGCCTTTCTTGCTCTTGTGAAAGGGGTCAGGGTACTATCTATCCATAGGTAGGCAACCTTCAGCACTCTAGATGTTATGGACTACATCTACCATCATGCTCTTCCAACCATAATGTTGGCATAGCATCAGGGGAGATGTAGTCTACATCTGGAGTGCCTACCCATACCTAATCTATCGACTTTGCAATGAAGAATTACCCTTTATTACAAATACAATTAATTTGGGGCAGGGAAAACCAGGAAGTGTCTTTCGATTTTCTGTTAAAATATAACTCTCATTTGCTTAGCAAGAATATGGCAACAGAAGAGGATAGTAGTATTTCTATAACTGTTGAGATTTTTTTATTCTTTAAAAAGAAAATTCTAAGAAACAAGGGTTTGAATTTCAATGCACATTTTATTCAGTTTTATTCTGTGCACTTATATTCAAATGTGGCAACAATCAGTTTAGTGATAGCCGTGGCTGAGACCATCCACCACAACTGCAAAGAATTTCTCGATGGCAGCTTGGATTGAAGGAGTGAAAGAAGATCCTAGTTTATTAGCCAGGACAACCACGAACACTTCACTGAAACGCTGTAAAAACACAACATAATAAATGAATTAACAGACTGGTAATTGTACAGAAGTAGACAGGACATCATGGAAGTTAATGTTTAATCACATTATAAGATCTATAGTTTTGTTATTCCCTATTTCAAGGTAGGGTTGCCAGATCACTACATTTTTTGTGGAACACATGAATACTTCAAGTTGTCCTGAAATCGGTTCCATGTAACATTCATAAGAAGCATTAGTGAAATCAATTAATTCATTCTGTTTTCACAAATGCAGCATAGGAATGCTACATACGGTTGGGAATTTTGTGGGTAGCCCCACTTATTAAACAATTGTATATATGTGATTTAGAAATGCTGAGAAATTTTTTTTTTTTCTTTTTTGAGACTTGTTAAATTATATTCTGAAATTTATCTTAGGTTTTAATAATGGTTAAAAGTTTATCAATTATAGAATTTTACAAGAAACATATTTAATGTGTGAGCATTCTATGATAAATGTCTCCAACTAAAAAACTCTTTAAAGCACAGAATAATGTCCCCATTTAGCTTGTGAAGCTTTATATAGCCCAGCTGACTTTAACCCCTTAAGGACCAAACTCGTGGAATAAAAGGGAATCATGACATGTCACACATGTCATGTGTCCTTAAGGGGTTAAACAAACTGGCCTTTACATTTTGAGTACATAAAGAGGACGCCAATGCCTACTCCATATAAAAAAATGTTAGCTGGCGCGATGGTTGGACCAAATTATGAATATCTATCCATAACTACTTAAGTTCATAAAGCAAAACATTTCAAAACAAAACATATTTCAAAAAGTGACTTACTCTGAAGTTCTCTGGATCCACATGCAGTCTGTTGGCATGGTCAGAACTGAGGTCATGGAGATCGGCCTTAATGCTATCCAAGTGGTGGGCTGCGTTGTTGATGGCTCCCAAGACCTTCTTGCCGTGAGCTTGTACTTTGGCATTTCCAGCAATTGCGGATGCGTTGGACAGGTTTCCGAAAGAACTGAAATACCTTTGGGTCCAAGGGTTCACGAGGAGCAGTCTAGAAACAGAAGCGCAATTTACAAATATAATAAGCAAGTGTCTCACAAGGAAATTGGTTTGGCAAATTTGTATAATAATAATAGTAATGTATCTCATGAATGTTTAAACAATGTTGATTATAGAAACATCTCTGATATTATGTATAGAATTTACAGTGGTGATAAAGTAACGGAATAGAGTTTAGGGATTCCGTTTCTATATATAAATCTTTGTTAATATATGTATATTTAAAAACATACAGTCAACACACTAAAACACTAAACTAAAATTTGCTCTTAAAAACATGGATTTTTTTTAGATATAAGATTTAATATTTTTGGATAAACTTTTTTTCAAATGATTTAATAGTTTTGAGAAATATTTTAGTATTTTGATGTCTTGATATATTGATAAATGTTTTAATATTTCGAAATTTTAAAAATAAAAAATGTAAAGTTCATCCGAAAAAAAATGACATAATTTGCAAAGCTTAACCAAAAACATTATATTGAGGTAATAAAGTAATAGTTTAGTAGTTTACTCGTTTAATAGTTTACGTTAACCAACTCTATATTAACATTTCAGTATAGATATAAACATATACACTTCTCATGCAAGACACTGAGTTTGTATCTTTTATAATTCTTACCTTCCAAGGGCATCTCCACCATCATGCTCAAGATCAACTTTGCCAAACACAGAGGCGATGGCGGCCTTCTCTTCGGCTGTCCAGTGAACCATGGCGGCTGTTAGAGGAATGAGTAGCTCAGGTTTCAGTGAGAAAAACAAGCTCTGAAAAACAAATGTTTCTCCACCGAAAAATGAGCTATGAAACACCTATCATGAGTGACTTTGTCAGCCTTTTTTTTTTTGGTCCATCTAGCACTGTTACTGATAAGAGGAGTTGCTTGTCGATTTGTATCACACCACATCCCATAATGTCTATTTTCTGGTTATTTCAAAATTATAAAATATGTTAAAATGTTCAATTAAATTGTAAAAGAAATATAGTACTTTCAATTGAAATAGTAACAAAACTAAACCAAACTAATGAAAAAAAATGAAAAGAAAATGTAAACAATACAATTAGCAACAAAAGGAAAATGCTAAATAATTATTACAAATTAATCATTAAAATCCAATAATGCTTCCTTTCTGGTATTAATCAAAGATTGCAACATATACAATTTAAAGGTACATAAATGTTATGTTTAATAGATCTGCACTGAAATATAGAAACAGTAAGGCAAAAAATATACAAAAATAGGAAAAAGTGAACAAAATGTGAATGCTACAATTTAAATGAAAGATACTACAAAGCCACCACAAAGTATCCAATCTGCATAACTTTATAGAATTGCCTTAAGTAAAAATATAACCTGAACAAGTACAATACCCCCCCACCCCCAAAAAACATAACCAACATTTGCCTAACAATAACTTAAATTGCATATGTGGCATCTATATTGCTTTTTTCATCATCATTATAATTATTATCATTAATATTATCATTATTTATATAACAGCAACATATTTTGCAGCACTTTACAGGCACACAATGCTAATGTTAACAGCAAGTGACAGATAAAACCTTGTTCATAGAACATTCTTAAAGGCGATTACATGTTTAATTTATATATTATACTTTGGATTTAATTATCCCTATCTTGAGATATATATTCAAAGGTCTGCTGACAATATAATAGATAAATCCATAAGAAATGATAGTTCAAGCCGGCTGGCAAAATCAAAAATGTACTTTAACTTGTTACATAAAACCTTCAGGTATAAACTAGGCACAGACTGACCACAAAGGCTCATCAGTCATGGACCAAGGGTCCTGTGACAATCAGTGGTCCATGCCACACAGTCATGAGCTGCGTTAAGGAGCTCGGAGAATTTCCTCATCTTGCCTGGTATCTTTTTGTATAAAGTACGCAATTGATAATAGCTGGGACCCACAGAAGGCATGAAGGACATTTCAAATCTATCTCGTTTAATTATACAATAGCTCCTCAAGTCCTTTATTACATTTCCAGCATGTGTGAATAGTGTGTGAGAGGAGAAGAGGGGTTGTAGCTGCTAGTTGTTTTTAATTATTTTAAAGGGTTTTTTTGTTGTTGTTGTTTTTTTGTTTTTTTTTTTATAATAAATGTGTTTGTTTTAAATTGCACCAATCCAAGAAAAACATTTTCTTTCATCTGGACATCTTTGGTGGGAATTGTTTCACTCTTATAAGAGCACAGCGCTGCTCCACATTGAGTAAATTTAACCTTTTTTTTACCTTCACCCTGCTGGTTATAAGTGCCCACATTATTTGAATTTGAATTTTTTATTGCAAGTATTAAACATTTGCAGGGCATATGAAAATAACAATTTGCCAATATATCCCTGGGATGCTCCACATTCAGCAGGCATATTTGATTGAGTTACAAAATTTAGATATTTTTCTCATTTGTATAATTTATATATACTGCTATTAAGATATACACAGTGCATTGGCAGAGCTACTGGCTGCACCAGGGTTCACAAGCTGGGGGCTCATTGGGCAGCCCTCACACCAGATGGGCATCTCTGATCAAGGGCTGGTTCGGGCACCACAGACCTTTTTAAAGCACACGGGACCTGTTAGGTCTGCAGTTTGAGTGAAATGGTGGGACAAAGTGTGTACAGGTCACAGCTTACAGAGTCACGCAGGGAGGCAGAGAGAGAAAGGTGAGAACTGACAGAGAGATGGGACCAGCATCAGACTCCCATCACCCTCATTGAGCACCTCCTGTGCCAGATCTTTCTGGACCCCAGGTAAGTCACCCTCCTGCATCAAAAAGGTATAAAAACAGAATAATTTGTTCTAAAAATACACAAATTATTATTTGTTTGTCAGTATGTGTGTAATGCTATATTTGTGTCATTGTGTAGCTGTGTATGTATCTATGTATCTGTCAGTGTGTGTCTCAGTATGTGTATAAGTGTGAGTGGCAGTGTATATGTGCATGCATTTCATAATTTAGATGCCAACACTACATACAAACACACCCCAGCATTCAAATGCTACCACTAAATACAAACAAAGCCGTGCCAACACTACACACAAATGCACACCTGCATTCAAATGTCAACACTACGCACAAATACACCACTGCACTGAAATGACAATAGAACATGCGCACACACACACACACACACACAGCCACCCAATACAAAACATGCTTCCATTCACATGCATAAACACTGCTCATAAATACAACTCTGCAAGGATGTGCAAATGGTTGATCCCCAGCTTGCAAAGCATTATGGGGGTTGCAAGACAGTCGAGCAGCTACCTTTTTGACACTTTTGTACTAGAGCAGGTCCCCCCAAAAAAGGCGCAAAGTGGCTGCATTGCAAATGTGCCTGTGCGCGGCTCCAGACCTAGATAGAGGTGATTTTTGTGTGAGGTCTTCATCTCGGTCAGGAGCTGTGCCCGGGTGCATTTTGAATTTATAAATTTTTTATGTTTCTTATGTTTTTGATTGCCTGCCTCCAATCCACTCTTACTAATAGGCATGAGGGGGTAAGTAATTATTCACGTTTATTGCTCTATTGCACTGATTGTTTGATGATGCATTGTGGGTATAAATATGCATCTTCTTTCACGTGGTATTAGCTTCACACAGATCTTCGTTCAGGTTGAAACATTGCTCTGTGGCATTTTTTGATCCAATAAAGCTGCTATATTTTCGGTTACCTGTCAGTGCCTGAAGTTCCTTTTTCTATGTACTAGAAACTATGTACAAGTTTCCGGTGTACTGCTCTTGTCTAGGGATGGTGCACTGGGCACCTAGCAGGACGAGCTCCCCTGCAAGGCTCCTTTTTCCTCTGCACCAAGAATCAGCTGTTCAGGGCATGAGGTTACTGTAACCCCACGCCACAAGAATAAACAAATGATCATTCCAGGCAAGGGATGCCAGACATGTGAACCATGGATGTCCTCAAAACTGACCACATATCAGTCTGTGCTCATAGTGTACGGCTCTCCTTCTCTCCTTCTCTACCCTAGACATCGAGGACATCTTCTCCAGTGACTGATCTCCTTCTCCTGCAGTCACAGGAAGCACAGATATTCTGGAACATTAGGAGTGTTTCTACTATTTTGTGTGTGTAAATTGGTTTTGTACTGCCTACTCTCCATTGCTGCCTCTCTCTGCTGAGATTGACTCTGCCTGGAGAACTTCACAAATTAGGGAAATCCTCTCTGATGATGTTGACATGCCGGTTTCACTGCTAGTACACTAACATATTGTCCTATACCCTCCTGCAAAACAAGAAGTACTTGCTGGTGGAGTAGTAAAGTGAAAGTCAGCAGAGAACCACCTGTGAGAGGGTTCTCTTACTCATCTCTGTCACTTATTCCTTGGCTTGGACCCCCTGTGCCACCACCCTTCTCCTGGCACAATTCATAGATGAAATGTAATATTCTTTCATTTTAGACCATGTTGTCTGTACTACAGCAGTTGCACTTAAAATAATAATAATAATTTTTTTTTATCAACCAGCAGCACACTTTTTCAATTTGCTTACACATTCTCCTCCATGGTGGTCAGGACTACGTAGTATTTGCCATGTTTGTGTGTCTTTTTTGCTGACTGTTCCTTTGTTTTTGTGTTACATTTCAAATCTGCAATGTCACTCTACAAACAGGGACAGTTATCTTTCAGCCAGCCCTGCAATCTGTTTTGTTCAGCTCATCTTCAGTTTTTGTCATTCCAATAATTTTCTGGACAATTATAATTTCAGGAGACTTTCCTGACCAGCTATTTCAGATTGCCCCACATTTTTGTTTTCTTCATTATTTCTTAATTGCATTTTCATCAATATAAAATTTACATTTAAGCAAATTATATCTTAATAACAGTCTCTGGCGGTCCCTATATACCAGGTAGCTGCAAACAGTTGTCCAGGCTTTTGCTCATCCTAGTGGTATGTTTCATCTATAATTTGTATTGTTAGGATTTCTTCTTGTTCTTAATTGTGCGCTAAATCCCTGTAAAGTGTGAGTCCATTGTTAGCAAACAGTTCAGTAACAGAAGGTTCTAGACTTGTACGCAGCAGGAAAATTTGGTTCCCCTGAACCACTTCCTCTGAAAATGTTATTTATTTGGTTGACCAAATATTTCAGTTTGTCAAAATTTCGGCCATGCAAATGTTTGGGAAAACCAATTCAGACAAACCAAAAAAGATGCGAAAATGTACTGCAAAATATAAATATTATGTATCTATTTTCCAGTACAACGATAGGCGCATTATGTGGTTCATAGATCAAGAAAAAGTCACCAACAAAAGGTGAAAGAGGAGAAGCAGTATAAAAAGATATATTTATGTATTTGTATGTTACATATTTATTAAAAATATATATTTATGATCATATAAATTTTTATATGATATATATTTATGATAAATATAAAAATGTAGCTTTTTTTACTGCTCATTTTTTCTCTCTTTTGGTCACTTCTCATGTTGAATAAAATCAACATTTAATGGCTGTTCCCTAATTATTGCTCATCATTTTTCCCATTAATCAACTCTTTTTTTTTTTGGTACCATAGATGGAACTCCAAATCACATAAAAGACAAACTTGTCTATTGACCAGTTGGTTAGTTTTGGAATTCAGTTATACAGTGTTTCTGAGTTACATAATCCGGATGACCAGTCCATCAGCTGAAATTCAGATAAATTCCAATTTGGAACGACCTGAATGCAC